AAACTTTCCACACTTATAGAGAATATAGAGAAGAAGTGCACAATGCTAATATTTTTTTTAAATAATGCATAAAAGATACATTAAATCAATAAAGAAAACATTACACACACTACATACCATGTATTTGACGCACACACGCATGCATACTATTTATTGTCAAACTTTTGTTCTTGACGTCTGTTGTCAAATTGAGAATAGATTAAATATTGTTTGTCTTTGTTAATATTTTTTATAGTGTAGTCTTGGCGAAATTTGTTATTATAGAAGTATAAAATACAATCATAACAGTGTACAAACTTACAATTCCAATTAATTATAATCGAATTTCGACTACTGCGGGACCTCTAGTATCCTTAATTATCTTATACCTAAACCTTTCCCTAATTTGGTGGTAGGGTAAGTGAGATACAACCGCGCATGTGTTAGTATCGACATGTATATTTTTGCCGCGAAGTAATTATTTGTTGTAGCTTAGGCACCTGTGGTAATGCAATTGGAATTTCAATCATATGTCTCATGGTAGGTGTCTATAAGCTAAACATTTTGGTGGACTTGGAGCTTTTAAAAAATAACAAACACGATTTTAGCAATATTATCTGAATATTTACACAAACAGGTGATGTGAATAAATTATACAAAACCTTGACAATGGAACCGGCACCACAATGAACCTTTAAATATATGCATTACGCTTAATAATTAGCAATGTTAAATATTATTATTTAATATTATAGATGCTTGCCACGATTTGAAGTTTTCATATCAATACCTGTGAGAAAACAATACAATCCTGTGTTTTTTTACATCGAAGAAAAGTAATACATTAAGAAAGGGTTTAATTAATGAAGAATACTAATAGAAAAAACCCAGAGATTTTAGATATTCATTTAGTTTTCAGAAATATAAGGAGAGAGATAGATATGAAAATTAGTAAATTTGACTTTATTACAGTAGAATAGGCTGTACCAGAAAAGTTGAGGTCAATTTAAAATTTTTGGAGTACACTTTTGTATAATAATTTTACAAATTAAAAGATACATAGATAAATAATCGCCAACAAAACCGGGATTCCTTTTAGTATGGCTACAGAGACTGATATAAATATTTATATGTGTTTAAATTAATACGTACATAAATACATTACAAACCTTAAAATATGTTTTTAACATACATACATTATTACCATTCGTATTCGTATGTCGTATCACTCTTGTCAGAGCGGTCGTGGTCGTCATCCAGTATCATTGGTGTGGGCAGATGCTATGCGCCTCACGAGCAATCCCCACCCCTCGCGGTTTGTGGTGACCCTAGTACACTCATGCAAACAGCCGCCCACTGCCGATTTGATCTGGTCGGTCCATCGCGCGGGCAACCTTCCACGCGGTCTGGTGCCTTCTACTTTGCCCTGAACGACAAGGCGCTCTATGGGGTAATTTCCTCGCCGGGAGACAAGTCCAATTACCATACATACATTAAAAACCAAATAATATTGTTACATATATGTACATTAAAATACACCAAATATCTTCTACTGGTCTAGTCTCTTCGTGGCTACATCGAAGGATTTCGGTTAGAACAGTATTTTAAATAATGGGCGTAATTTTAATTAGCATGCGCTCAAACCTGATTGCGCTTATTCATTAACATATTTTATGAGTTTCAATTTTTACCTTTGTTCTGTTACGTTGTGGTAATTTAGCGTGGATTGTATTTATTATTTTGAGATATTTATTGTACTTCTTTATGACATACTAGCTGACCCGGCAGACTTCTTAGTGCCTCAATCGATAAATAAAAGACCTAAACTTTTGTATAAATTAAATTTAAAACAAACAAAAGGAATCAGTCCGACGGGGGACACATCAAAGAAAAAACAAAATTGTTATTTTTATTTGATTCCGAGCATTTTTTATATTTATCTACCTTTTAAACCTTCTCTGGACTTCCACAAATAATTCAAGACCAAAATTAGCCAAATCGGTCCAGCCGTTCTCGAGTTTTAGCGAGACTAACGAACAGCAATTCATTTTTATCTATATATTAATACGTGAAGCAAAAACTTTGTATCCCTTTTTACCAAAATCGCGCGGACGGAGGAGTATGAAATATTCCACACTTATAGAGAATATAGAGAAGAAGTGCACAATGCTAATATTTTTTTTAAATAATGCATAAAAGATACATTAAATCAATAAAGAAAACATTACACACACTGCATACCATGTAGGTATTTGACGCACACACGCGTGCATACTATTTATCGTCAAACTTTTGTTCTTGCCGTCTGTTGTCAAATTGAGAATAGATTACATATTGTTTGTCTTTGTTAATATTTTTTTTAGTATAGTCTTGGCGAAATTTGTGATTAAAGGAGTATAAAATACAATCATAATAGATAGTCGAATTTCGACTACTGCGGGACCTCTAGTATATATAGATAGATTAAAGACTTAATATAAGAGAAAAATAAAATTGATGCGTTGCTCTTGGCAACTAGATTTGAAAGGGAAATGGTGTTATGGAAGACGTTGCTCACATTATCATGACTTTCAGAAACTGAACAGCTCATTTAGAAAGTGTCAGAGTAAACCTTTACATCTAGTTTTCTAGTATGTCTATGGCCAAGCAATTAGGCGTTCCACCTTAAAGTGGAGCCTCGTGTCTCAAGGTGGGTCACGTCTTTACGTTGTGACGTTTATGGGCTCCGGTAACCACTAAAATATCAATAAAGGTGAACTCGCCCATAAATCTAAAAACATTGTACATTTAATGATATCGACAGATTTAAATAAATTAATAAAAACATTATAAATGTACTATAACAATATATATTTTTTTCTATTTGTGGCTATGTCGTTAAACGAACAACAGACTTTATGTTTTTTAATAGTAATTTAAGTATAAAAAATCCGTATTATTTCTTAAATTGGTTCGTAACTTTAATTGTTAATTGGTTTGTAAACAAGCCAGTTTCGTGGCCTTACGTGGAAGTGAATTGCATCGATTTTCAAGAAATATGATGGTCTTATAAACAATAAAAGAATTTCCGTGATTTTTTGTCGCCTATTCTGTAGACGGATGAATCATTTAAGGAGCATCCAATGGTAAATGGTAACCGTAGTCCATAGACATAACAATACAATGTAACTACCAACAATCCACCTTGGTACATTAACTTTAAATCTAAATTCCGCGAAAGAACATAGCATTTCGTTTTGAAGGGCCCTTGTGCTTCAATACTGTAGAGACTTAACCTAGTGTCTCGATTGTAGTACCATTGAAATTTGTTGTTTCTAAGGGTTTCGGTAAGACCTAATTAAAACTCTGTATAAGAACTTTGTTCTAAACTTTTAATATTGATTTATTTATTAACTTGATAACTTCATATACTAGAAAGTATAAAGGCGGACTTAATGCCATAGGCATTCTCTAACAGTCTACCTTAGGGGAGTGCAGAGATGAACCTTGGTAGGTGTAGTGTGAAGGTGATATTACTTAAACATATCTGTATATGTAACATACATAATATTTATAGATACAAATACTCGTACTTAAATAAATACATATACATAAATATATAGATATATATAAATACATACATATACATATCATAAATATTTTTTTATTTTTTTTTATTGCTTACATGTGTGGACGAGCTCACAGCCCACCTGGTGTTAAGTGGTTACTGGAGCCCATAGACATCTACAACGTAAATGCGCCACACACCTTGAGATATAGTTTTAAGGTCTCAGTAGTCACAACGGCTGCCCCACCCTTCAAACCGAAACGCATTACTGCTTCACGGCAGAAATAGGCGGGGCGGTGGTACCTACCCGTGCGGACTCACAAGAGGTCCTACCACCAGTAACATATATACATGTAAAAACATATATAAACGAATATTAATTATTATAATATCTTAATGTTTTTATTTACAGTTCCTACTATCGTGTTACTTCGTAGAAATCTCTTCGCGTCCCTCAAACGGCGAGTAAGTATTAAGTTATTTTAACATACGTAGTTATTACAATAGAAAAACAATAGAATTAAAATGTTTTATTGATATACATATTTGCAGTAAAAACTGTAACCATCATACGTTTAAGAAAGCGAAACTTGTAAATACGCAAATAAGGTTACATATTCTTTAAATGTACATTAAAGCATTTCAGTTCGCAGTTTAATATTATACTATTATCGCTTTTGTGTATAACCTATTACCCATAACCTATTACCTAATAAAATAACATGAGTGTTTTATCAAGAAATGACAAAATGTTATTTTAAATTTTTTTAAGAAACTCAAGTTGTCCTAAATCTCTATTAAATTTACGAAAATGATGGTTTTAGTTTCAAACCTTATTGAAAATGATTCCTCGCATCCCAAAATAATTAGAATTTAGAAAAGCGGTGCTTCGGTCGCGTTTTTTCACTAAACAAATCCCGTACAACACTGCACAAATAAAAACGAGCACAACTAACATTATATTTCCACACTGCGATCAGCCGATTGTTATTCTTAAGAGACATTCAATTGGCATCTCTAAAACATCATCTTATGTGGTAAAACGCTTTGTGACCACCACTCAGTCGCGCTGTGGTAATACAATCTAACAGTAGAAGAGCTTATAGTGTATAGTGGACTAAAACAGAGCTGCAGTACACTGAAGGTTTGTTTTACCCGATTTGTTTTGCTTCTATATTGCTTACCTCATCCCAATGTACCATACTCAATTCCTTGCATGTCTGTAATCTATTGAAAGGCTTAAACATATTTGAACATACTTATTTAGTTCGAAAAACATCACATTTATCCGGAAATTTAAATTTAATTGTAAATTTGGAGTACAAATTTCAATATTATTATTTTGTATTATCTCATCAAAAAAATTCATGTTCATTTTCATAGCTTAGCGGTCGTATGTTACTTCTGCATATTGTAAATATTCTAAATAAACCAATCTAATATTTTCAGGGACAGCACAACAACTACAGAAGATATGATACAGGAAATATTACAATTGCCAATCGTTGATAAAACGCAAAAATCATTGACTATAGATCAAGCTTTGAATGAAAGCGGTAATGACGACACAAGAGACATATTAGAAAAAATAAAAGCGATAAATGACGGCTTGAGGAAACCAATTAGACGACAGCAGATTAATTGGAACCCGCCCCTAACTGAATCGACTCAAGCACTGAATAAAGAAATTCTTGAGAAACTACAACAAATAATCGCTTCTGGTAAACTTAATGGTGTCTCTAATCCAGACAAAGAACAGGACGAACCTTCTGAGAGTCTCAACGATTTAAGATATTCGAAACAAATTAACCTGTTTCCCAGAAATCGAATAGCACCTGCTATGACAGTTCCATACCTGACAAATATGCCTGTCCTTATCATACCCAGTTTATACGGGGGGCTTCCTAACGGAGAGCTAAGTGATACAGATTTACAACAAGCGTATTATCAAACTAGACAGAGCCCAACACCTTCGTCACCATCACCGTTTCAATTTCAATGGCCATTTGCTAGTTTCTTCCCAGTTCTGATAAGAGACCCCTTCATTAGCATTCTAAATGGAGGTGGGTGGAACAGTTTTATCGAGTATGGACAAAATGCTGATGTTTGTACAAGAAAACAAAAAGCAGCTGAAAAAGATATACTACTACAAGATAATATTTTAGAAAACGAAGAAACGTTAAATGACAACAAATTTAAATTAATTGATAGATTAAATTCAAGAGAAGGAAGAGCCATCAGAAAGCGCACTATACCTCATGGGTCTGGACATCAAGTAATTGAAGATACAAAATTTATGAAAATTTCTAGAACAAAACCCACCACAACTCAAAGACCTTTCCAAATAACAAAACTTGACCATAAAACGAAGACTTCTGAAGAAGGAGATCTACGATTTCCTTTCGGAGACTTTACGTGGTTTGGAAATAAGAAACCAGTCGCACCAAGTCCTGGATTTTTCATCAACAGGCTTAAAGTGAGAAGGGGTGGTGTTGCGATAGCGGGGCCTGGAGGTGTAGCTACAGCTGGGAAAGGAGGAACAGCTATTGTAGGCCCTGGAGGACTTGCCTATACACAGCCCGGAGGCCTAGCAGTTGCCGGACCAGATGCTCGAGTTGTTGCTCTGTCCTCAGAGGCCGATCTTACTTCAATCGTTTCCCGTCTTCAGCAACAAAAACAAAGTACAAATAATGATTCCATTTCTAATTTAATACAAGCTATACCTGAAGGAAAACTTGTTGCCACCGGTCCTGTGATATATTACCATCCTAACGAACACAATGATTATTATTCTAGCTAATTAACATTTTTCCCTTTGAGAATATTAACTTATTTATTTCTCTCTTGATAGAGACGGGCGAGGAGGAGAAAATCAACGGAACGGAAGAAGATATGAAGGATTCGATCGCGGATCAGACGAATACAGATACAACGGAGTAACGTTTGAGAAATCGCCGAGGAAGATGGAATATAACGACTTCATGATTTTCTTGAAGCCAATAGCTCATGCCGTAAGCTCCAAGGGAGTTGCAATTGCTAACCCAATATCTGAAGTTGTAATAGCGCGTAACAAAACAGGATCAATTGTCCACACGCCAGTAGCAGCAGCTGTTGTTGGACCAGGAGGAGTAGCGCATGCCCAGTCTGACCTTTATTTATATGAATATGTGTCTGAATAAGTTTAAAATAAGATGTGATAGTAAATATTGTATTCTAAAAAACATATCGGAAAATAATTTCGACTTTAGCTTGAAATTATTTTTTGGAATATACAAAAGTATTATGGATTTGAATGATTTAGTTATCGATGGATTTAGTCTTAAATAAATAAAAAATAGATTGGAATAAATGATTTTTAAGTTTTTTTCTAGTTTCTCTTTTTAATCTCAGACCACGGCCATGATGTAGATCAAGATGTCTATAAGATTTATAAATTGTTATATATTAACTGTGCTCAATTTAACAAACACAAATGTAGTATCTCAATTTCAACCTCTAATTAGGTATCTTAATTCGAAAATTCGTATTGCTACTATAATACAAAAATATTTTATGACGTAACACTGCCAACTATCACCGCATGTATTCCTAATAATATTATACTTAAGTCCCCAAAGATGGTAGTAGAAGAGTCAATGGGTAACCCATGAATATAAATAACTCAATTTAAACCTCATTTCAAAAAACTGTTAGGGCTCAAGAAACACTTTGGAAAGGAATCTGTTCCATATCCGAACGATATGTAGAGAAACTGATCTCTATAAATGAATTGTCAATGAATGCAATGATTGATCACAAATAGTTGAGATAGACTTTCCTCAATTCGCAGTCAGTGCAATAGTAGCAAGTAATTTATGGCCTCATCTCAAGCACTACCTAGAATAATGCTAGTTTTAACAATATACATTGTTTTTCATAAATTAAAACTGTTCATTAATAACGAAAACATTTTACTACCATAGGCTTGTACAATATATACCGTTCTATGGAGGCGCTAAGGGCCAATATTTAGAAATTAAGAAAAACAATCTTGGAAACATCACCAGCGAATCAATTGTATCACAAGATAAAATAAGCAGTGACGTCGCAGAAAACAATGAAGAGAATTTACTCTCGAAACTGTTCAAAAAGAATTTGCAAAGCTTGCGGAGTACTTCAGGTACCCTTATTAAACTGCATAATCTAGGGAAGAAGACTGGCTCCTTAAGCAACACAGAGAAAGAAAGATTTAAAACGCAATTATCATCACTAGAAGAAACTGTATCAAACATAATCAAACTAATTGAAGATATTGGAGATGACGTTGATGTACTTTTCAAAAAAACTAATTCTTTAAGGCGTACGGAAGATCAGTACGTGGATGACGAAGCTGGTGACGGTGACGTAAGTAAGCTTACTTCAAAAATGTTTGCTATTAAACTCATAAAAACCATTAATGACATAGTTAACTCTTTATCTAAACTAACTAGAATTTGCTTTTTGGGATTTATAAATAAACAAAAGAAATACGAAAAAACATCACATCCTTTTAGATTTGTTGGTGCCGTATAGAAATCGTGTTAGTATCGTCTCAAGAGAGTGAGTGTAGGTTATATTCAAACAGATAAATATTATAACCTAATTTGAACATTATGGAACTTGGTTTGGATTGATCCCAGATCACCGATTATTATATATTGTACAATTTCTTTGGCCGTTGATTTGAAAATGACGCAAAAAATCTATAATATCTCATTTGACGATATTGTTTTGGTTTTGTTCTTAAACACTTTTGTACAAATTTAAAATGCGTCCTTAAATAGTTACGATTTCTAAATAATTATTCGTCCAATACAGGCTCGCGTATCACACATAAAACAAATAACAAAAGAAAGTCCGTAGGTGTATAAGTTTGTATTACAAATATGTCGCCGGATCACTAATTTCTGTTTGATCCAGTGCTTATTTTAATTCCATTAAAATTCATAAACACTTTTAAAAAATTTCATATTGTAGGTGTCAGAAGAAGGAATCAGTATTGAAGCAAGTGCTGAACCCGTCAATGAATACGAAAAGGAAATAGTTGCTGAAGCTAAGCCAGTTGGTATGTTATAACTCAATCGAAATCTGTTGAGCTAGATTAAATACATTGTGACGATTTAGGGCTGACAACACAATATAATCTTTTATTAACCTGCCTATGTTCACAACGAAGGAGTCATTAGATTTCGGTCCAAAGGGTATGAAAACATTAATCCCAATACAATTTATTTTGGCCCCGCTTATCAAGGTAGGCTATTGTATTCACGTTGTTTATGGGCTTCGGACACTATTTACATCAACTGGCTCTATTCATCTTGTAATAACTAAAAAATTAAACTTTTTCTTTGAAGTTTTTATTTGCCTTGTTTGGCAATACTCATCATAAATATTTATCGGCTTGTTTTGTTAATACAGAAGACTGACTATCTATCGCCAAACAACATTTATACTGACAAGCAAGCCAGAATATCAACGTTCCATTCTCATAAATAAAAACCTACTTTGCCTACAATTGAATCCAAATAAGTTAGACATTCAATTACAAATGTGATACTCGTATAGGTGACTAAGATAGGACTTCAATAATAGGAAGCAAATTTAGATCCGCCTACTAAAATTTCTTATTCTGTTTTCCAGGTCTAGCCGTTATAGGAGAGCATGGTTTAGCAGCCTCTAGACCAGTTGGTACAGCGGTAGCATTAAAAGGAATAGCTATAGCCCGACCCATAGGAACGGCTATTGCTGGCATTGATCCTAGCGTTTTAGGTATCAACTTCCAAATTAACCATTTGGCTAGGAGTAAAGGATATTGAATAGACATAAATACATGAATCAGATTATTAACTTTTAGAGTAATATTTCTACGAATACAAAGTACTTAAGAATTTAGGTTTTAATTAGTTTTCTAATTTAAAATTACAGCACTGAAATTCGTTTTAGATTACGTATTCAATTATTGTTCATTCCCGTCTTCCCATATTACTTTTACGTCTTCCTTAAACAAAATTAATTTTGCCTTGATCTGATAAGATTTGACTTATGCTTATCACAATTTAATATTTGGACCGCCGCAAGAACTTTTGCTACATAAATTAATATTAAAGTAGTAGTTAAAATGGTATTTAAAATAGCAGAGGAGTTATAGCTAATGGTTGAGCCGTGATTAGATTTATTATATTTTGATTTAGTTGTGTAGTTAGTGCAGTCGAAACATCGAAAGAATTGTGAATTAAAAAGTTCTAATCACTTTTATTAAGATTTTTTTCTATCTATTATATATTGAGTGATACAAATTTTGAAATTAAAAACTTTATATTAATTCTTTTATATACTAATGTTTTAATATAAGTCTTGATATTATGGTTAAATACAATGTGCCACATAAATTTAAGTAATCGCCATATTCGATAACCATATTTATAAAATATAAATTAAGTTCATTATAAAAATGAATTAAGAATTTACTAAGATCTATGTGTGATAAAATGTCTTAAAAAGACCAAAAATATTTATTGCAAATAAAATTTTGCAACTATTGCACTTGTTTTTTTTTTATATTTTTAAATAGCCCCTGGTGTTAAGGCTACAGAAGTCAGTGGACAACAACCGACTGAAAAAGACAAAGAATTAAATACAAAAAATTTAACTTTAGAACGCATTGGGATCCTCGGGGTTTATATTTCCGGCGTTGTTTGAGAAATATAGCCAAAATTATTCTGTGATCGTGGGAGTTCTCAACAAAACGAAGAGATACTAATGTCTATTTCGAGATTTGTCGTCTGCAGTGGACAAAATCGGCTCGGTAATCACGTAACTGGACAAAACATGATCTCATGCAGCTATCGAAGTAATAACAGTTCTGGGATAAAATGACAATTCGAAATTTTCAGGTGGACTTCTTGTATGGAAGTTTGAAAAAGGCCTTAACGGTGTCTCAAATTTGACTTTATCACGATCAACTCATGAGCAATGGCTGAAATGAATATTAAAGCATGATCTTTGCTGTAGAAAGTCTTTTCCTTTGCTTTTCTTTTCACTACCCCATTCTTAAAATCGAAACGCTTTCAAACTTCACGGCCGAAATAGGCAGAGTGGTGGTACCCACCAGTGCGGGCTCAGAAGAAGCTATCTTTCTCAATTCCAAAATGAACGCGGCTTAAACCGTTCCATACGTATATAGTAAGTATATAACATCATAGTAGAATTATAGTGTATTTTTATAATTAAATTTACGTTTACATTTTAATCTGGCATTTTTTAATGTCCAAATTGTTTCCGACGTTTCGTATACTTTAGATTTTTCGTGGTCACGGACGACTAATGCGTTACTGTGTTATGTATATTAAATATTGTGCATTTTATTTTAAGAGAGACTAAACTGTAAAAGTAGGCTTTATTTATTTATTTTTACATTGATGCACAAAACAAATTACAATCATCACAGTACATATTAGGTAAATCGTACAAGTAGTACCCAGATCTAATCTGGATTGCAATCTAAATGCTATGTGCGCTCAGCAAACCCGTATTAATGTACATAGGTTTGGCTATTAAAAACAAAATTACAAAATACATGAATTCAGCGTCGGAACGGTACTTCGATAAGCCTATGCGACATGATAATCGCCTTATCGTTACCGCCGCTAACTACTCCCCGAATCCTGATCATGCAGGAGCCAGTCACCGTCGACGCCGACTTACGGATCCATCAGATCCAATAACCTTTGCATTAGGCGTCTTCAGCTCTAAAACTAGGAGCAGGCTTAGGGACCCTGGTAACAGTACTCGTGGAACTCGACAAAGAGGTCGACGTGCAACCTAACCAATGCATCAACCTGCTGAGTTTCTCGCCAGATCTTCTCAGCGGGTCGCGATTCCGATCCGGTAGTAAATTCATTCGCGAAGCAATTGCTCTTAAGTTGTTAGGTCTACTTCGGAGGCGCTCGGGCTGTTGTTAGCAAATCCTACCCCTCCTGGCTGAACCTTTGGTCGCGCACCTGTCCTGGTGACATAGGAAGGGCCTCCGGGCCACCAGTAATATTTCAATAAAAAAGAAATACAAATAAGAATTAAAAATTACAAAAAAAATACGGTAATCGGTATCCACATAAGTAGACAACAATAAAACCAATACAAACAATATATTGATAACTAGCCATTCTTAAATAGTATATACTATGACTTAAAAAAAACGAAAACATGTCTTTAAACCAGTCACGATATATTTTATACTTTCACATTATAATAACATAGGCACTCGTGCGACTCCATTTCAAAGCACTAATGCGAAGTATAATGGATCTGAAATTAAATGAAATCTATATATTAATACGTGAAGGAAAAACTTTGTATCCCTTTTTACGAAAATTGCGCGGACGGAGGAGTATGAAATTTTTCACACTTATAGAGAATATAGAGAAGAAGTGCACAATGCTAATATTTTTCTTAAATAATGCATAAAAGATACATTAAATCAATAAAGAAAACATTACACACACGACATACCATGTATTAGACGCACACACTCATGCATACTATTTATTGTCAAACTTTTGTTCTTGACGTCTGTTGTCAAATTGAGAATAGAATATGGTTTGTCTTTGTTAATATTTTTTATAGTGGGCGAAATTTGTGATTATAGAAGTATAAAATACAATCATAATAGTGTACAAACTTATTATTCCAATTAATTATAGTCGAATTTCGACTACTACGGGACCTCTAGTTCTTATTAATAAGTTATATTTTAATGAATACCTTAAGTTTGGTTTGTAGCAACAATTAATCATTTTTTATTCGAATAAAACCCAACGAACGTGTGTTCGCCTGATGATAAAATAGTATATAATAATAACATCCTTTGAATTACAATATAACTAATTCAACAGGCGCCTTGTATATTTTGAATTAATATATTTTTAAAAACGAATTCAGTATTTAAAAATTACACCTATAATAAATGGGCACAATGGCTTTTTTTAACTTAGCTTTTTTTTAATTGCTTATATTGGTGGACGAGCTCACAACCCAACTGGTGTTAAGTAACATTCTACCACCAGTAATTACGCAAATTATAATTTTGCGGGTTTGATTTTAACACACGATGTTATTCCTTCACAGTGGAAGTCAATCGTGAACATTAAATTTGTTAAGTACGTATTTCATTAGAAAAATTGGTACCCGCCTGCGGGATTCGAACACCGGGCATTCCTAGATACGAATGCACCGGACGTCTTATCCTTTAGGCCACGACGACTTGCTTTCAACTGGCAGTCGGAACTCACGATCAGTTTGGCGTTAAGTATTTACTCCAGCATAGACATCATCAAAGCATGAATTTCGCCACGCGCTTTCAAACAAGAAGTCTCAATACTGTACGGTTTGTTTACCCACCGCTCATTCTAACGCACTGCATTGCGGCAGAAGCAATTGGTACCACCCATGCAATTTATTTACTTGTACTATAAACTATAGATTACTTGTGGTGTAGAAGTGTAATTAAAAAAATAAAATATTCTATTCAGACTGCGCACACTCTGGCAAACTTTTAACATAGCATATAGTAACATAACTACCACTTCTTACTGGCGGTTGGATCTTGTGGGTCCGCACGGGTAGTTACCACCACCCTGCCTATTTCTGCCGTGAAGCAGTAATGCGTTTCGGCTTGAACGGTGGGGCAGCCGTTGTAACTATACTGAGACCTTAGAACTCATAACTTAAGGTGGGTGGCAGCACTTATGTTCTAGATGTCGATGGGCTCCAGTAACCACATATCACCAGGTGGGCTGTGAGCTCGTCCACCCATCTAAGCAATAAAAAAAACTCTGACGCATGTTTATACATACATAATCTATGTTTAATGAACAATTCCAGACCGTTGTTCCAATATTGAAATACGTATACTGTTCTATGTATGCTATTTAGTCTTTTACAAGGGTACGCACACAAAGACAGATCATTTCTTATCAAGCTTACTGTGCTGTTGTGGTCAATGATAAATAAATACAAAACCACTGTCATACTGCGTAGCGTAAATATTTTAAATCCCAACTTTGTTTACGGTTAGGACGATCTAATATGTATACCACGTGTAGTTTACTACCGTTTTAATTAAAATCCAAGACAAAGCGTAAAATGTTTTATTTGTGACAGTTTATTTTTTTCTTTAATAATTCTGATGCAACATTCCAGGAATGTTTTGTAATTCACATTAGATTCATACAGTGCATTAGTCATTCTGTTTACGAAGATTGTTTTAAAATTGCTTCGCTTTGAGGTGATATTTTTGATTTCTTTTTACTTTTTTTGAGCCCACATATAAAATATAATAGGTATATCTAATATATCTGCGGTTAGTATTTATACATGTGTATATACATAAACATGTATATACATAAACATGTATATACATAACATAAGTAAAAATGCACCGACATGTGCATCATATATATGTATAATATGATGCACATGTCGGTGCATTTTTACTAATGTTTATTTATAATGCAAGTCACGAATCTACATTATTGTTGCACTTTAAAGCATTTTATAATTAAGACTGTCTTGGTTTAAAATAAGAAAAGATAGGGATGAGGAAAAAATTAATAAAATTAAACTTGCGCAATTTATAAATCGAATTTATGTAGTAGGGGATCTATTTGTGTGAGCTCCGGTAATCTTTTGATTTGGTAGATAGTGAGCTCATCTTCCAATTTACAGCAGTAAAGAGAGACCTCCTGTTTTGACTAATTTCACTAGCACTGCTATTCGTTGTCTACAGCTCTAGCCTTAGGAGCAAGCATAGGGACCCTGGTACCCGTACTCGTCGAACTCGTCAAAGAGTGCGACCCGAAACCTAACCCATATATATATTTTTTTATTGCTTAAATGGGTGGGCGATCTCATAGCCCACCTGGTGTTAAGTGGTTACTGGAGCCCATAGCCCACAACGTAAATGCGCCACCCACCTTGAGATAAGTTATAAAGTCTCAAGTTTAGTTACAACGGCTGCCCCACCCTTCAAACCGAAACGCATTACTGCTTCACGGCAGAAATAGGCAGGGTGGTGGTACTTACCCGCGCGGACTCACAAGAGGTCCTACCACCAATAAAGAGGTCCTACCACCAAGAGGTCGACGTGCAACCTAACCCATGCATCAACCAGCTGAGTTTCTCGCCGGATCTTCTCAGTGGTTCGTGATTCCGATCTGGTAGTAGATGCATTCGCGAAGCAGCCGTTCTGTATGTAAAGCAATCTTTGTTTTTTCATAAATCATTGTTTTGATCGTTAGGAGCCTCTGGGTCTGCGGAGGGATTTCGCTTCTCTCTGTATTTTGTACCGTATGTCCCATGGGGAGTGCTCTGAGGAATCGTTTGAGATGGTCCCATCATCTCGTTTTTAGCATCGCACCGCCCGCCACCGCAGTAAAGTTCATCCATAATACCTGGACCCACTGCGTATATGTATTCACAGTGCGTTTCCAGAGGTATTTTCTGCCACATACCATCCGGCTTTCCCTCCACGTGTTTCCCGAACATTATGACATATCCTTCTTCAAACGAGGGTTGTGGAGATTACTTAGTTGTAGGCAGCGGCTTGGCTCTGTCACTGGCATTGCTGAAGTCCATGGGCGACGGTAACCACCCACAATCAGGTGGGTCGCATGATCGTCTACCTACGAGCGTAATAAAAAAAATTGTACAAATAATTCCGCACACAGTTCAATTCAGCGCCAAAAATTTAACTCCAAAAGCAAGTTATTTTTTTTTTTTCGGGGTCACTGACATTGAAGTAGTATTTAGTGATTTACGGTGACAAAGAAATGTTCAGCGCACAACAGAATTTATTGTGACAATGACTCAGTGAACTCTTCAAAGAAACTCACACCGCACCTTACCAACGCTTTGTTTCCTAGAACGTAAGCAAAGGGAATTTCCATTCAATTTGTTTTTTTCATAAGTATTTTATTTGCATAAATGTCCAGCTAACCAATGAATAGAGAAGACTGAAGTCTCAACTGAATTAAAGCAAGAATTTGAATTTGACAAAGCATGTTGCTGATAACTTTATTTCTGTAATCTGACGAAGCATGTTGCGGATAATAACATGTACTTTTAGGTTAGGAATATTGTGTTCTTTTTTTTTATAATAAATTTATTGTGTCTTATAATAAAAAATTAAAAAAAATAATTAAAACAGTGGCTTTCCTAGACTCTCGAGAAAGAAATATGCCGAATGGTGTTACCATGTGAAATAACAACAAATCCCACTTAACTTAAATTCGGAACTAGCCGGTTACGAATTAGGGAAACCGTAGTCATTTTTTGAGTTGACCGAGGATATATATTTACGCATCTTCTGATCAATGTCCAAACCGGATATCTATATATCGTCGGCTTATTGCAAGAAGTCATTAAGTGACATATTCATTATTTTGGGAAAACGGCATTTTAGTTGGAATTAGTTAGTGGTTATGTTGATTAGCCCATATTATCCTTCATACATAATTACAGTGAGCAAAATTGAATGTTTTGGATTGCTTAATATGTATATTAATTAAAACAAGTGAGAGTCGGTAGTCATATAANCTGCTTAGTGAATCTTTGTAAATGCCTGACTTCCAAAGTTGCAATTATCAATTTTCTACCAAAGACGTAACGGCTAAAATTGGCCAGCTAGAAATTAGTGTGTTTTTGCATTTTGTAGAATATGCAAAAATGAGCCCATTATAGATAAAAACGCATTTAGTGATTTTTTGCAGTTAATGAGTTCTTGCAATAAGCCGACGATATATAAAAACGAATTGCTGTTCGTCAGTCTCGCTAAAACTCGAGAACGGCTGGACCGATTTGGCTAATTTTGGTCTTGAATTATTTGTGGAAGTCCAGAGAAGGTTTAAAAGGTAGATGAATATGAAAATGCTCGGAATTAAATAAAAATAACAATTTTGTTTTTCCTTTGATGTGTCCCCCGTCGGACGGATTCCTTTGGTTTGTTTTAGGTTTATTTTATACAAAAGTTTAGGTCTTTTATTTATCGATTGAAGCACTACGAAGTCTGCCGGGTCAGCTAGTCATCGATAAAATGCATATATCTGAAAACTTTAGCTAAATTTTGTAGGTAGGTAGTAGGTAGGAAATCACAAAGTAAGGATACTCCTACACCCAACGGAGAAGTAGATAGTAGTAGTAGTCGGATGAAATTACTAATGGCAAGAGATGGCCAGGATAAATAAAAGGAAAAAATATATAATTGAACACGAAAAGCATTTTATTTACTGTTACTACCGGTAAAAACCGCATTAGATATTGGACATGTTCCAAAGTCTTGACTCACCTACCTATCATCATACAACCCCTTGTTACACAACAACACAATTTATACATAATTAATGGTAATTGTTTCCGTGTATTGATGAATGGCCCTTTATGTATCGACAGTTTTCTGTATTCTAATAATTCTTAGAGATGTAAACGAATAATTTTACGTTAACTTTGTTTGTAAAGTAATAAATATAAAGAAAAACGTTCTGTTATCTTTTTTTTCTGCTGTAATAATTTTATAGAGCTCCAAATAAAGCATACTAATGCAGATGGAATTAAACTTATGAAAAACATGCCGAATATCATTCCGATTACGGGAAGTTAAGTTTAGAATAATTAATTTATACTAAGGTATAAAGCTGAAGTTTGTTTGTTTGAACGCGCTAATCTCAGGAACTACTGGTTCGATTTGAAAAATTATTTCAGTGTTAGATAGCCCATTTATTGAGGAAGGCTATAGACTATATAATATCACGATCTAAAATAAGAGCACCAATAAAGAATGTTTCAAAATCGGGGCTTTTTCCCCTTTTGAGAGCTTCCGCTGCGTGCGCTGCAGAAACGGCTAGTGTCGCTAAAATAATGTATGACAGAATTGTTCCCCCTTAAAATATCTCAAAAAAAAGTCCGCCACAGCATATATATGTCTATATGTTAAGGTTGGCTCATTATAACGTTTTTTATGCTAACCAAATTTGTTCTAAAATAAAGCATTATTTGTCAAGGTGTTTTTATGAAGATGATATTAATCCTTACCCAAATAAATACGTTATTCATTACAATTTTACATTTAACATTTTAATTTTAAAGAAATTTACCCACACTTGATTTTAATGAGTATCTCGATATGAGTATTTTAATGAGTATGAGAAGATATCGCAGTTTTAAAATAACGTCGCAGCAAAATAATGATCAAGCGCGTAATATTAATGTACAAGGCGTCGGCGCCGGTCGGCCGGTGCGCGGCGGCACAGAATAAGAACAATAACAAGAAACACCCAAATCACTTCAAGATAGGCTTTGAAAATTATAGATTTTTGTGGATTTCTCCAGGATCCCATCATCAGGTCTTGATGATTACAGGACAATCCGGGAAGTCTACCCTTTCGAACCAAAAATAGAAAAGAGAATTATCAGAATCTGTTCAAGCATTCTCGATAAATCGGTGAACATACATAGATAAAAAATTGTGGTCGATATGATGGCCTTCTCTTTTGAAGTCGGTTAAAAAGCGTGATTTTGGTACTTTAAATAGCTCCTTGACATTCTACTTTTCAAAAATACTACTTTTTTCCTACTAAAAATACTACACTTTTTACGTAAATGCAGTCGCGGGTAAAATTTAGCGTTATGCCAAAGTAACTATTCCACGCGAATGAAGTCGCGGGCAAAAGCTAGTAATATAAATACACATATAAATAATACAAGCTTACAACTAAAAAGGATAAATTTCAAAATTTACTAAAATTTTCAACAATTCAACGACAATATCAATTCAACACAGATAAAAGAAGGAAAAAGTTGAGGAAATTTTAAGGGAAATAACTAAGACAAAATCAGGTGCATATCTAACAAGTAATGACTAATTAAAATCAACAAATAAAATATGTATATACATATTTAGGTGAGAAAACCCGACGTTTAAATACATATATATGAAAAATGTTTATTTAGTTTATATATAACATAGAATTCAGAGATATCTCAAAAAACGTGACAGAATTCACGCTAAGAACTCCAAACTGTACGAACGAATTAAAACAAATGCAATACAAGAATTACATACATTAGCGATTTAAATAGCAATAGATAATTATCACAAAATATAGACGTCAATACAAAGAATTTGTGTTTAACGTACCCACGCGGGGAATTTTAAGGAAAGACGACCATTACAGCAGCGTAATGTTTTCCATCTACAGGTTTTATTGTCAACGATATCTTTCTTATTGAGTAATCCATTTGATGTCCCCAAATGCGTAATATCCATGGTTTTGATTTAATTTTAGATATTTTCCATGCGAAATTACCCTTAAAGCCTAACTCTCGATAAATGAACGATGCGATGCGATGATATAAGAGCGAGCGCGTGTCGGCGCATCCATTACCTTGTCGTGGTAGCGAGCGCGCGACGTTTACAGCGTCACTCGTGTGTGTGCAAACAAATATGGCGCGAATTTTCGTAAGTTCTATTTATAAATTTGTTTTTGTAACACATCCAATTTCGAATTTACATACTGACTATTAAATTAAATTTAATTAAGGACGAATCCCGTTTTTTTTTCTGACAATATGTCAAAAATTATTTCTCATAAACGAAAATTTTCAGTAGAAGTTTCTCTATTCACAGACTCAAAGAAAATATTTTTGAAGTTACGATCAATGTAAAGTGCACTAATGTAATTGGATTTGGCTTACTTCAGCCATTTTACTAGATATTTTTCAAAAATTCTTAGTATCATTATTTATAAAACCAATTTTGAACAATATTTATTTTAAATTATTGTTCTAGAATTATTCTTAAGTTAAACCAACAAGAAAAACAATAAATAATGATGAATTCGTTTAAAGGCGATTTTTCGAATAAAAGTGTCATTCTTATTCTTCTACTATTGTGTAGCTAAATTCACATGGGTAAATTGTATTACTAAAATCATTACTAAGCATATCATTTTTGGAAGATTACTTTTAGTATTATTTGTCTCGAGAGATACCCTTCACATTTTTCATATCTTCAACAACTTATATAGTCTCATATTGATCTTGTTTTAGCCGCTGGCTAGGTGCACTCCTTTAACTAGTACTCCACGATTACTCTCTTATTCATTTTGTTATATCAGTAAAATTTTCATAAACAAGCCAGCGGATTAAATAAAGCTGTTATGTACCTACCAGTAAAATCAAAACCGTAAATTAATTCCTAAACAATAGTTGCAAACTCTTAGCAGATCTTCTTAGGGTTCACGCTGCGTTTCGTATCATCAGTGGGAGTACCATTTTTATTTCACTATTTCAGCGCTTCGAATAAATTTCACATAATGTTTGTAACTCATTTGTGGAAACTACAACTAGAATATTAGAAGAAAAAAAAAAGAATCATTGTTAACGCTTGAGTTCAATGACTAAAATCAAACTCAACATTACTAAGGAAAACTTTGTTGTAAGAGCCAGGGCGTAGATCATATTGATTGTCATAGACGCAGTCCGAATAAAGTGACATTAAAACATGCAATCCGGAAATATGCTGGTAGATTTCGCAAGATGTTACCGCAAGTGCCACTTGAGTCGGTGCCCATATAATTACTGGAAACTACAATTTAAGAAGCATTCAGTTTTGTAACGAGTGCACCTGCGTTGCGAGTGCGCATGCGTGTGACACAATTTGTCGTAATAATGTCACAACGTATGGGAGGTTCCGGACAATTTATGGTTATGTTTGGTAAAGCAAAAGTCCAAGTGATAGAACATGTGAAGGCGATATTCTAAGCCTCTGATATAGGAGCTTCTTTTTGACTGAATTCATAAAGAGGAATAGTTTCACTAAGTTTTTTTTTTATGATTTTTTTTATTATTTATTTTATTATTTACAGAACTTTTTTCTAGATGAACCAATTTTGATAATTCTTCTTTATTTGAAAGGACGAAGGAATTTGGATGACACTTTTCATTTGACTTTTGCAGAATCTAATTGACTTCGACTACCTAATCTTATTTTATATGGTTGGAGTAGGTTTTCTTATATTTTATTTGTTTTTAGCAAGTAATAATTTTTATTATTAAAATCTCTTGTCTAGTTACTTTTCTTCTCTTTAACCTATAAATCTAGTACAAGACTGTACTCCCTGTCAAAAGCGTAGAGGGCTTGCTTTCAAGAGTTCCGGTTTCAAGGGTGGTACAAATACAAAACATTACAATTGAAACTTTGATCTATTGATAGGTTTTTCGGGACCTCAGTAATGCACGCCAATAAAAAGACCCAAAGCTTACATCGATTTTAATAAACTTTTTTTTTTAAATACAATATATTTGTATTTTTCTGACTTCTCCACGAAAACATTTAAGTTGAGGACAAACGTTATGACTCACAAAACATCAAACAAGATATTTGTCCGTTTACTGGACATTAACAAAACTACTCATAAAAATGTTTGTAACTTCAACAGATTTCACAAAATAGATAGGAGAATCTGTTCAAACAGATCTTGTATTCCGAATTGTTCTCATGGTATCCTTTTGCTTGAGGAAACTAAATATAAAGCAACTGATTTACATGCAGAGATACGTAAGCGTTTTAACAGCCTTGAAATTGAGTTAGGCCTTACCTAAATCATAAAACAATAAAACAGTGATATTTTTTTTATTGCTTAGATAAGTGGACGAGCTCACAACCCACCTGGTGTTAAGTGGTTACTAGAGCCCATAGACATCTACAACGTAAATGCGCCACCCATCTTGAGATATAAGTTCTAAGGTCTCAATTATAGTTACAACGGCTGCCCCACCCTTCAAACCGAAACACATTACTGCTTCACGGCAGAAATAGGCAGGGTGGTGGTACCTACCCGTGCGGACTCACAAGAGGTCCTACCACCAGTAATTACGCAAATTATAATTTTGCGGGTTTCATTTTTATTACACGATGTTAATCCTTCACCGTGGAAGTAAATCGTGAACATTTGTTAAGTACGTATTTCATTAGAAAAATTGGTACCCGCCTGCGAGATTCGAACACCGGTGCATCGCTCAACACGAATGCACCGGACGTCTGATCTGTTAGGCCACGACGACTTAAATACGATAAAGGGTATCAATGTCCGACGAATATTCTTTTCTTTATTTTAATTTTATATATTTGCAGTTTTGGTGGTCACGGAGCACTCTCAATCGTGCAGACCCAATAATTATAATAATAATAATAAATGATTTAAATTATGTCGTAGACTCGCGAAAGCTGAGAAAAATACTATCATTATCATCAGTCACTTCAGTGACTTTAATGATACGATGATTGTTCTCGATTGACTACCACAGTGAAGAAATAACATCGTGTAATAAAAATCAAACCCGCAAAATTATAATTAGCGTGATTACTGGTGGTAGGACCTCTTGTTAGTCCGCACGGGTAGGTACCACCGCCCCACCTATTTCTGCCGTGAAGCAGTAATGCGTTTCGGTTTGAAGGGTGAGGCAGCCGTTGTAACTATACTGAGACCTTAGAACTTATATCTCGAGGTGGGTGGCGCATTTACGTTGTAGATGTCTATGGGCTCCAGTAACCACTTAATATCAGGTGGGCTGTGAGTTCGTCCAGCCATCTAAGCAAAAAAAAAAAACACTAGTACGCGCCCCCGTCGTATCTTTCTTACCTACTGCATTGTTAAATTTGATCCGAAATTAGGGAAATGGATACATTTCGTTACTGGTACTGGTAGAAAAATATTCATAGTATTTACTTTGGGTAAGACAGTACAGTACACAACTGTAGAAGATATTTTCCTTTACTACAATCATAAAGGACATTTACTTACGACAAAATAATTAGTGACGTCACGGAAAGAAAGCTTCATCTGCTGCGAGGTCAACGTTCACTCTATCGGGCTTTGGGACCTTCGGGAACGAAAGGGACAAGAGTAATAACTTATGGGAATTATGATAATTTACACGTATATTTAATAGTTTTTGGGGCAGTCCACTGAATTTCTCGCCGGGTCTTCGGTGGTAAATTCCGTTAAACAGAGAAATAGTTTCTTCGCGTAAATATAGGACCGCGGTTTCAGTTATAGCTTGAAGTACGTTTTTTTTTTTTAATTCGGGCACACACCTATCCAATTAAAGTTACGTATGAGACAATTGCAAGCGTCATATTATTCCTACGGCCACACATGTAGGTGAAGGTTCAAACGACAGCGACATACTAATAAGCAGGCACCTTCCTTCCGTCAAACGCAATCAAATTGCCATGGGATTTGTGTTAAATTGAGCGAGGCTGAGTATATACGAGTTACGAAATCATCTTTATGTGTAGGAAATAAAAGATAGTTTGAACATATTCGTCGTCGAACATAGTCGAAATTCGATTGTAATTAATTGGAATTTTTAAGTTTGTACACTATTATGATTGTATTTTATACTTCTATAATCACAAATTTCGCCAAGACTACACTATAAAAAATATTAACAAAGACAAACAATATTTAATCTATTCTCAATTTGACCACAGACGTAAAGAACAAAAGTTTGACAATAAATAGTATGCATGCGTGTGTGCGTCAAATACATGGTATGTAGTGTGTGTAATGTTTTCTTTATTGATTTAATGTATCTTTTATGCATTATTTAAAATAATTATTAGCACTGTGCACTTCTTCTCTATATTCTCTATAAGTCTGGAAAATTTCATAATATATAATAAAATAAATAAGTGTGGAAAATTCCGCGCAATTTTTGTAAAAAGGGATATAAAGTTTTTGCTTCACGTATTAATATATAGATACTTCTATACTAATATATAAATCTACAGAGGTTTTTACGGATGTTCCGTTATAACTACTGAACCATGCATCCGATTGAATTGAAACTTGGTATCCATGTAGAAAATACGTGTACATAATTGATAGGCTAATATTTATATGAGTGTTGGGCTCCCTGCACCAGTTGCGGGGGCGTTAATGATGAGAATCTTTGCGGGGGTGAGAAATAATAATGTTAATTTTAAAGGCGCAGCGAAGCGAACGGGTACAGCTAGTAGATTATAAACTTACTCGGCTGATGCATAAAGTGTGAGATCCTGTGACATACATAATGATATACAAAAATATGTTTTCTTGTCATAATTAGAAAGTTCAATGTCGAATGATAATTTTTTGTTTCGTGTTTTAACGATTGTTTAATTAATTTGATATCTTTTGAGATAATGCACTGAGAAAAGAACAATTATTATCATTGTGGCGACGCTATGCATCTATATAGTCAGGAAATCCTCAAATGGGGAATTTTTAAAACTGACTGAAGAACTGCCTGCGAGATTTAAACGCTGATAATATAGAGTCGCTTGGTGTGTACATACATCTAGTGTATCACTCACAAAACTCACCTTTTTTGGACTTTTTGTTTTCTCGTTTAGTTTTTAACACAAGTTTCAATTCATTGAATATAAATCAGTAATACGTTAATATAAAAACGTTTGTCATTGTATTATGTATTTTAAAACATGATTATGTAAGGCATCTATACTCTATACTAATATTATAAAGAGGAAAGATTTGTTTGTTTGTTTGTTTCGAATAGGCTCCGAAACTACTGGACCGATTTGAAAAAATATTTTTCCATTAGAAGCCGACATTGTCCCTGATGGACATAGGCTACTTTTTTTTTTTTTTTTTTGGTTTCACGTGTGTTTTTATGTTTCCGAAGCGAAGCGAGGGCGGGTCGCTAGTATTTTAATAAAACCAAACTAATTATACGATTCGAATCGAGACGATTAACTATATAACGTCGTGCATTATCTAAAATCTCAAATGTTACACGAATAGGAATTATTACGAGCTAATTTCGCATTCAGAACTAAACGTTGCAAGTTAGCAGCCATTAGAACTATGAACGTAGGAATCTTCTACGAAAAATAGAGTTTATTCAACTTTAACAGTATTTTTATATTGGGGATCAACGCACTTACTTCTGTGACTCTGAAGAAATTTTTTGACATATACGCTATTTTATATTTAGGGTCACGTTTTGTCCAAGTTGTTATGTAGGTATGTAATTAAGTTTGTGAGTGAACAACATTCACGGTGTGATATCTACAACCCCGATAACCAATGATGTTTAGTAGTCGTCGTGGCCTAAAGGATAAGACGTCCGGTGCATTCGTGTGAAGCAATGCACCGGTGTTCGAATCCCGCAGGCGGGTACCAATTTTTCTAATGAAATACGTACTCAACAAATGTTCACGATTGACTTCCACGGTGAAGGAATAACATCGTGTAATATAAATCAAACCCGCAAAATTATAGTTTGCGTAATCACTGGTGGTAGGACCTCTTGGGAGTCCGCACGGGTAGTTACCACCACCCCGCCTATTTCCGCCGTGAAGCAGTAATGCGTTTCGGTTCGAAGGGTGGGGTAGCCGTTGTAACTATACTGAGACCTTAAAACTTATATCTCGAGGTGGGTAGCGCATTTACGTTGTAGATGTCTATGAGCTCCAGTAACCACTTAACACCAGGTGGGCTGTGAGCTCGTCCACCCATCTAAGCAATAAAAAAAGTAAAAAATAAAAAGTTCCTTAATGCCATGATCCTCAATTGTGCAGGTCATTGCAAAGTCCAAAGAGGTTTGAACGTTTATGCAATAATGTAAGATGACATACACCATGGGCGCCAAACAAACAAAATTACGTATTAATGTGTGTTAATATATGCAAGTAGTATCGACGCGAACAACATACAACAATACGTTATAGTAATGTTTATTTTTATATACGATGAGGGAAACTAGGCTTAAGTTAAAGTTCGTTAAGCAACGAATAAAAAAAATGCTGTTTCATCATTTATTTACATATTTTTTTTTAATTTATTGCTTAGATGGGTGGACGAGCTCACAGCCCACCTGGTGTTAAGTGGTTACTGGAGCCCATAGACATCTACGACGTATATGCGCCACCCACCTTGAGATATAAGTTGTAAGGTCTCCGTATAGTTACGACGGCTGCCCCACCATTCAAACCGAAACGCATTACTGCTTCACGGCAGAAATAGGCAGGGCGGTGATACCTACCCGTGCGGACTCACAAGAGGTCCTACCACCAGTAAATTAGATATATTTTAAATTATATAGTTTAGATAAATTTTTTTTGCTATGCACATTTCCCTTAAACATATTGAAAATGCATTTCCACGAAACTATATTAAAACTATATACTATTACGGTAAGTTTAATGGCATTTGTATAATAAATAAATGTCGCTGTTGACTAATGGACAAATTAAAATTGTAGTTTTATAATTTATGATCTAATTAAAATGACTAGACTAGGAAATGTCGACTATAGGTGATGTTTATTTTTATAAAAACAAACGTGGTTTTTCTTTCGCCTCTTCTTTTAATGTATTTAATATTAATATTTTCCATTTCTATCTTTATTAATAGATAATGCTTACTGTCAACAAACTACATATTTAGATGTTCTTTAAAATACAAATTTTTTTTTGGTAAAAATTTAGTGTATAATAAAGCATAAATATTAAAAACAACATCTAATTTAACCGGCTCATACTACGACTTATAGTTTTAACAAACTCTCGATATTTCGGAGCTGCTAAAAGCACCGTGATCACGGATAGAAAGAATAGTCCTTATCATCTAGATCACCGCGAATGTTAATAACAAGACAAACAAATCAATAGATTAAACAAATATAGTAGTGAATTGGCGAATCTTTCAAATTACTATTTCAGAAAATGAAACCCTCAAATTACCAGGGACTCCTAAATTATTTTGGACAATAGACTCTTTTTCCAAACTTGTGTTAATTAGTGGGGATCGATTTTTAGACTTCGTCGATGAGGTCGCCTATGCAATGCAATGCAATAGGTACACTAAATAGTAAAATACAATTTTTACAGTTAGTTTTTAGGCATCTGGTTTATAAACATAGTATTTTTTTATCATATAGGGCCCGATGATGTATGCAATATATCAAATACTATAAATCAATCAAAACTCGTTGAAGCTATGTGGTAATACTGCATGAGTGAAATACAGATGTCTCCAGAGGACTAGGTCGAAGGTCCTCACCGGCACGCTTTCTAGAATTACAATTAAGATCATCGAAGCTGTATCGATTCGTGAATCGAGATGTGCGAATATCGATTATTCTGTATAATTGTCGTCAATATTGAAATATTTCTAAAATAAGCTTTGCCTATATTTGTTAAGGTTATGCTATGCTTGTAAACAAAATTTTCTAAATAAAATTAAGCTCGAGATCTGATTGCTCGAATACCAGCCAGCATTTAATTTTGAAACCGTCATAGACAGTTACTAGCAACATACCAAGTATAAGTATTATATTTATTTATTATATTTCGTATTTTTCGTATACCTCAATGTGGACAACAGCGTTTATTTCATGATATCATTAAGATACGCAAATTTAATAACAAGACATAAACGTCGGCAAGAAATCGTCGTGGCCTAAACGATAAGTCGTCCGGTGCAATCCTATCTAGCGATGCAACGGTGTTCGAATCCCGCAGGCGGGTACCAATTTTTCAAATGAAATATATGTACTTAACAAATGTTCACGATTGACTTCCACGGTAAAGGAAAAACATCGTGTGATAAAAATCAAACTGCGTAATTACTGGTGGGTACTACCACCCTACCTATTTCTGCCGTGAAGCAGTAATGCGTTTCGGTTTGAAGGGCGGGGCAGCCGTTGTAACTATACTGAGACCTTAGAACTTATATCTCGAGTTGGGTGGCGCATTTACGTCGTAAATGTCTATGGGCTCCAGTAACCACTTAACACCAGGTGGGCTGTGACCGCGTCCATCCATCTAAGCAATAAAAAAAAACAAGAGTCAGTTTGTATATGTAAAAAAGATATGTTTAATGAATAATCTATTTTCCTGAGGTATTGAAATAGCAATGTATTTCAGCTGACATTAGCTGCAGTGTGCATAGCGGTAGGTGCTGCGCCTCCGGGCCACCAGCACGGCTACCCACAGCACGCTCAAGCGCAGATAAACACGTAAGTTTCAGAGGTAACTCCAAACGCAGTCCATTGCATTAACGCTTACAGAATTTATTTTTGGAACGAAGTTCCTTATGGGACGATGCGGAGGGGTACCCTAACCGGGAAAAAACGTCCGTAACGTAAGATTTTTATTAGTAATGCATACAGTGTACGACTTAACTTTGTAATAACGTACAAAAAATAACATTTTTTTTTTATATTTATTTACTAGCGGCCCGCTCTGGTTTCGCTCGGGTCTCTAATAAAAATTTCATAATAAAAAATTATAATACACACACATTAACCCTTATAATTGCGTCAGGTTCCTAAGATAGAAAATTGTGAGGATAGTATGAATATTATCATTTTAATGAACTTTTATTTTCATTTAAATAATATTTGTTCATTATCTATTTTTTCATTATTTTTATATTATTATTATCCTAATTTTCGTGAGTGAGTTTATTGACTCAGAGCTTCCCTGTAAACGATATTTGCCACTTATTATAGCATAACTATAATAGTATGACATATGCTGTCGCGACACATTTTGTAAATAATAATGACGTGTTCTACAAAGTCATAGTGCATTAATTTATTCTATCGTCAATAGTTTTCGCAGCGCACGCGATGTAAAGAATATTTTAGGTAATTTTTTACACCTTAGGTTACATTTTTGGAGTTTTAGTAAGGATCCTTAATTAAAAAAAAAGAATATAGTCTATGTCACTCGGGTATAGTGTAGCTTCCAAACAGTGAAAGAATTTTTCAAATCGGTTCAGTAATTCCGGAGCCTATTCAATACAAACAAACAAACAAATATTTTCTCTTTATAATAGTATTATAGATTATAGATTAGTATAAATTATTATTTATAACACTGATACCTATGAGATATAGATATAATTCAACGTAAAGTCATGTAGTCCATCTTATTTCCATTCCATTGTACTATCCTATAACGGTTGACGTTAGTAGATACCACTCTGGCTAGACCCCGGTACTGTGTAAAAGAGCTATAAAAATTTAATTTAAAAATAAATATTTCAGACTCGATTATTACTTGGAGAATCCAGAATCGGCACAGTATTACGAGCAACCACAACAAAAACGAGGTAAATTTCGAGTTTAAATGGAATAATTTCATTTAGATCACAAACCAAACCCAAGCAAAAACCAACTAAACATTTTTTTTTTATTCCTTAGGTGTGCGGACAAGCTGACGGCCCACTTGGTGTTAAGTAGTTACCGGAGCCCATAAGCACCTACGGCGTAAATACCGCCACATATCTCGAGACATAAGTTCTAAGGCCTCAGTTTTTACAGTACAACAGCTGCCCCACCCTTCAAACCGAAACGCATTATTGCTTCACGGCAGAAATAGGTAGGGTTGGTAGCTACCCATACGGACTCACAAGACGTCCTACCACCAGTAATTACGCAAATTATAATCTTGCGGGTTTGATTTTTATTACACGATGTTATTCCTTCAGCATGGAAGTCAATCGTGAACAATTACACCAGGCGTTTTATCCTTTAGGCCACGATGATATCATCAACTTTGACAATTTAACGACAACTCATATAATAGATTTTTTTTTAAATGCTATTCATTTTTATGTTCAGGAAACGGCAATATTAACCACGAAAATGCACCTTCGCGACTCGAGAGCTTAGAACCGGACAGCGAAGTGGAATTAATACCTGGAGCTCAATTACCCCAGCAACCTCCACAACAGGTTAAGACTGATTTAACTGTAGACTTAATTAGATAGTTAATTGCGTATAATAGTAACAAAGCTATTTAAAACTAATTAAATAAATGTTTGAATGTTTGCTAGTCGATCCCGTGTAAGCCTGAATGGATTGGAATGAACTTTCGCACAAAGATAGTTTTTATAATCTTCATCATCATCATCATCATCAACAGCCCACAGTCGTCCACTGCTGGACATAGGCCTCTCCCAATCCACACACTGATTATAATTTAATTAACATTTAACATAATATCTCTTTTCAAAATTTTCAGTCGTTTTTTAAGCAGGATAAATAAATAGTATGATTACGTCGTACCAAACTCATAGCTACATTTTCCGTGCGATAAAGAACTAGAACTCATTGTTTTAATGGAACATTATTTATATAATATAAATTAATAAATTCAAGCTGTCTAAGCCGTGGTCTCTCTTCTGTTTGTACAGTCCATGAAATATTTAAAAAAAGTACTAGAAAAATAAAAACCAGAAAAAAACATATTTGATTGTATTACAAATATATAAAATTACTAGCTGTACCCGTCCGCTTCGCTGGCCATTTAAAATTAACATTATTATTTCTCATCCCCACGAAGATTCTCATCATTAATGCCTCCCGCAACTGGTGTAGGGAGTCCAACACTCATATAAATATTAACCTATCCATTAAGTACATGTATTTTCTACATGGATACCAAGTTTCAAGTCAATCGAATGCATGGTTCGGTAGTTATAACGGAACATCCATAAAAAACACTGTAGATTTATATATTTGTAACCTCTATACGATTAATCTTAAAAGAGGTTAATATGTTACAAAAATAACATAAATAGAACTTCGAATATTGAAACATTAGAAGAAGGAACATTAACAATATAAAAGCATTTTGAAATATTGAAATATAATAAATATAAAAATAGTGGTGAAGCAATAGCTTTAAATGTTGTTGCTCTTTATAGAGCAACTCAATTAGTGCTATAGTTTTACTAAGCTAAAGTGTATTTCGATGTAAATAAAATAATACATTATAATATATTTATAAAATTATTAGATGAAAAAAATTTGTTACATACAATTTAATTTATTATTTTATGTAACCGTAAGGTGACGTTTAAAATTATTGAGCGCGAAACGCGTTTTCATTTTATACACATTAAAGATTTTTGTAAACGAATCTGATTGATTGCAGACGCCAGTAGCTCCTAATATACCTGGTCTTCTGCCCGGACAGAGAGTCTTCATAGTACACATGCCAGTTCCGGGATACAGGTAAAAATCATTTATCTAGAAATACAAAGTAAGTGTAGTACCACATTACTGGGAGTAGGACCTCTTGTGAGTTTACTGGTGGTGGGAACTCATGTGAGTCCGCACGGGTAGTTGGGTGGACGTGCTCACAGCCCACTTGGTGTTAAGTGGTTACATCGACAACGTAAATGCGCCACCCACCTTGAGATATGAGCTCTAAGGTCTCAGTATAGTTATAACGGCTGCCCCACCCTTCACACCGAAACGCATTACTGCTTCACGGCAGAAATAGGCGGGGTGGTGGTACCTACCCATGCGGACATCAAGAGGTCCTACCACCAGTAATTACGCAAATTATAATATTGCGGGTTTGATTTTTATTACACGACTCGCTGACCCGGCAGACTTCGTAGTGCCACAATCGATAAATAAAAGACCAAAGCTTTTGTATAAAATAAACTTAAAACAAACAAAAGGAATCCATCGGACGGGGGACACATCAAAGGGAAAACAAAATTGTTACTTTTATTTAATTCCGAGCATTTTCATATCTATCTACCTTTTAAACCCTCTCTGGACTTCCACAAATAATTCAAGACGAAAATTAGCCAAATCGGTACAGCCGTTCTGGAGTTTTAGCGAGACTAACGAACAGCAATTCATTTTTATATATATAGATATAGATGTACTAACAAACAGTACTACTCCAAATCAAAGTTTAATCTAACATGTTTCTCTAAATCGTTTCAGACCCGGTACAATAGGAGGTTACCAACCTGTCTACATCGTGGCAGCGGCTGCACAAGGAAACGCCGGCTTCCCGACTAACGGTAACAAAATAACTTAGACCTTAACGTTCCCGTATTCGTATAAACATGTCCAATTATTGTTTACAACATCGATTTCAGAGTTTGTTAAAGAACTAGACATGGCCTAGGGTTTAATCTATTTAAAATACAAAAACTGTAGATATGTTCAGGATAGGCAGCGGCTTGGCCATTCATTGTGGTCCATGGGCGACGGTAACCACTCACCATCAGGTGGGCCGTATGCTCGTCTGCCTACAAGTGCAATAAAAATAAATGTATTGTATTAATAAGTAGCCAGTAAGAAGCCTATTATAATAGCTGCTGTATTTTAGTTACCAATCAAATGGGGCAATCCTCTCATGATTCTGACAAAAACACAATTTTGTTATAACTATGCTGGGATTCAAATCGGGTGACAGACGCCAATTTTAAACAACAATTTGTAATGGTCGAGCTCTGCATAACCGTGTCTAAGACTATAAACAAACAAAACACTAAATAAATTCCATTTGTTTCATTACTGAACGCAGCCAAAGCGGCTAAGCATACCTACCTATACATAATAATATAATATATCTATAAGATGGGAATAAATCGATTCCAAAATCGAAGGAGTAGAAAACTAGTAAAGTGAATGGAAGTCATTATTAATTAGTTAAAAAAAACGTAACTACTTACTAAAGTTTTTTACTAAGTCCATCACTCTGTATAAAACAAAATTATGGTGATCTTAAATTAGAACATAACAATTTCAGGGTATCAAAATGCTGTGTACTTGGATCCGTCCGGTCAAGTCGTATCGCCAACGATATACTCCCGCCCGGTCTCAGGAGTACAGCCCAACCCTGGTCTACAACTGGGCTCCCCTCTGATCCCGAACCAATATTTCGGATACCAGCAACCCATCGTTGCTTATCAGTAAGTCTACATTTAAATTGTTATTGTATTTAGAAAATGTAATGTGTAATGTGTAAAATGTAATGTGTATGTAATTAGAAAAAGAAAAGTTCTAAATTGCTGAATTCAAGCAAAACAAACATGATTGATACCATACACGTACTCCGACATGACACGGTCAAATGATTACCGAAATCTATCTATTGGCAACTCCGACATTTCTAGATGACTTTATTATAATATCTTGGATATTTGATTCGCAGGACAGCCCCCGTGTTGCAAGGCTCTGACGAGAACAAGGGAATAGTAAGACTTGCCCAAGTAGTCGGCTTTCAAGGACCTCCAGTCAACAAGGATAAAACCACCAGCGGTAATTAATCATTGTGACAAACTTAATACAAAATGGATACCACAAAATTTGTCGGTGATAAATCTTATTGACCTCTGTTCATGTTGAATTTTGAGTATGATGATTTTAAATTGCACAAATCCTCCGAACTTCAAACCTTTTTGTGTTTCATGACAACCTTGTCTCTTAATTATGACCAATATCTTCCAGAAGCTTCTCCTATGTGCTATTCCGCTATCATACCTATCCTACATCATACATATAAGGGGCAATCTGTAACTCATCGCATATCGACTTTGTTTGAATCCGATGTATTTAGAATAATATTTTCTAGCATAATAGTATTAGTAAACTACTGTTACTAATTGACGATATTTTTAATTTTCTTTCAGCAACGAACGAGCAAAAACTTAGCCAAACTTCAAATGCCAAAGAAACAGAACAACGCAGTCCAGCGCAATGACAGAACGCGTAATTTCATTGTTTTGTTATTAACAGAAACTTGATTACTGGTTTGCGAAATAAAATTGGAAAATTAATATAGATTATTATTTCAACGAAATTATCTGAACGTGAAAGAATATAATAACACAGTGTTCCCCAACCGAAGGTGTACTCTCATAGTTATACAAATCTTGGGTAAATTCAATGAATGAGGAAGTAATTTGCTACTGAAACGATAAAAAACAAAACTAAAAGCATTTATGAGATTTGTTAAGATACAGTTGTTGAACTTTTGTTAGTTGTAGAAAATGACTAACGCCGATAGATTAAAATGACCCAAATAAATTTTAATGTCAATAGCAGAAGGTCGATTTTCCTTTTGCAAATATCACATTCATACGGGTCATACGTGTGCAATCCTTTTGTAAATAGATCAATCGTTTAATGGATTAATATCTTAAACACGATCACATATACCTACCGTATGTGTTATAAATTTGAATTGAGAAGCTGTTAATTCTAAGTCACATTTTCATATATTTACCTTTGCTTGATATAGGGCACACGCTAGTCGAAACAACTTTCTACCCTACACTTGAATGTAGTTCACATTTTAAAGCAGAAGCTGCAGTCTAAATAGTATTTCACACTTCACTCTTATTCGAATTCCACCCGCTCTTTATAAAGCTGCCAAATTTATTTACTTATTAGCGACCCGCCCTCGCTTCGCTGCGGAAACATTAAATTTTATTATTAATAGGTGAGTCCCGCCATGTTCCGCGCGGTACGACAATAACTGCGGGTGACGCCGCGGGGCGAAGCTAGTCTAAAAAAATAGCTTAATTAATCTTTATATCATCAGCTACCTATTAGTGAAAGTCTCATCAAAATCGGTCCAGCCGTTCCAGAGATTAGCCGGAACAAACAGACAGAAAGACAAAAATTATAAAAAAATATATTTTGGTATATGTACCGTATATATATTCATATGTATGTAGTGAAAAGCGGTTATTTTAATATTACAAACAGACACTCTAATTTTATTTATATGGGTAGATTAGGAAACCAAAAACAGAAAATTAGATAGATAGTTACGTACGTAATACACGTACCTTGAGTACGATAGGTATGATCGGGCGCAAGGCATGACTGCTTCAGATACAAGCCTAGACAGCATGGTGGAAACTACTTTATTGGGCTCACAATGTCGGAAATGCCACAATAGACATAAAATGTCGGTAGGCGATCAGAGTACTCTGGTTAAATAACGATACTGCGTAGATAAAGCTTTTTTTTATTTATTGCTTAGATGAGTGGACGAGCTCTCAGCCAACCTGGTTGTTAAGTGGTTACTGGACCCCATAGACATCTACCACGTAAATGCGCCACCCACCTTGAGATATAAGTTCTAAGGTCTCAAGTATAGTTACAACGGCTGCCCCTTCCTTCAAACCGAAACGCATTACTGCTTCACGGCAGAAATAGGCGGAGCGGTGGTACCTACCCGCGCGGATTCACAAGAGGTCCTACCACCATTAAAAAGCTACTGTCATTCCTCCGGTCAATCATTTCACATTGGAAAACATGAGGTTATGCTATTCTAGACCGAGAGCTCGCTACGAAATCTCTCAAAAAAGATTAAATCATAATTTTTCTTTTTACTCACACAAAAATCCTCTGGTAAATTTACGAAAGAAAAAAACAGTTCTCGTAAAACCTTATAAAGATCGTTAAAGAATAAATATTTACCGCGACTTCCTCTAAGCAATAAAATACAAACTAACGGGACATGCCTTAGCCCTTTTGCGCAGCATAAACATTACAAAAAACCAAACTAAAGCAACGCTACAAAAGTATCGCACACCTTAAGCTTTGCAGGATAAGATTCGTTTTACAAGTACTTGACGGTATAAAATTGCCATTTTAAGTTTGTAGAATGTAGACTCAGTCTCGTGATTGGCAACGACGACTTCTATATCTCAGAGCAAAATTGCACCTTAATTAGGAATTATTCTCAACAGTAGTGGTTCTTCTTGAAATTACTCAATGGATTACGTTAGCGTTACGTTCAGTCAAGATAATGCAAAGAAAATGCATTAATTAAATAATTTGACACTTATTACACTTATTACTTTGCAAACATGCGAATATGAATATCTTGGAACAACTATACACATAAAATACAAAACTATGTCTTAGTCATTGTATCATTTTACACGACAAAATTGTCAATTACATAAATCGAATAGAAGCTGAAAAAAAATTCTCACATCTTTGGAATTGATTTAAATAATTGTATATTTGATTTTTTCCTTAAAGTTTTCTTCACTAAAGGACTAATTCTTACTAAAAATAAAAATGAACTGCATTGAAATAGATATATTTTAAATAAATTTTCTATTTTCTGTATTATTTAAGTCAACATATATTATTAAGTCAAGATCATTGTCACTATGTGAATAAAAATGTACTAAAGGCATCTATCAATATTTATTTTAAGCTAGCTGACCCGGCAGACTTCGTAGTGCCTCAATCAATAAATAACAGACCTAAGCTTATGTATAAAATAAACTTAAAACAAACAAAAAGAATCCGTCCGACGATAATTGTTATTTTTATTTACTTGCGAGCATTTTCATATTTATCTACCTTTTAAGCCTTCTCTGGACTTCCGCAAATAATTTAAGACCAAATTTAGCCATTCTCGAGTTTTAGCGAGACTAACAAACAGCAATTCATTTTTATATACATATATAGATTTCATCGACCTGCATTCTTTGACCTTGATACTGCACCATTATTTAGCTATCAATCACCCTCGGAAGAAAATTTACCGTGATTGATGTTATTAACTTTTCAAAAACCAATGTGCAATATTACACAAAACAATAAATAGTGAGCTAGCGTACTGAAATGAACCTTAAAATGATACGCAGAGATTGCAACATGACTGCACTAAAATGCAATTTACGTTGAACTCTTTTCAATAGCTCTCTGTAAACGACTGACGGAAATGGAGCCGTACGTACGGGAAGCACGTACCGAAAACGGGATCTCGTATCTTGGTCTCCGATAGTGATGACTCACGCGAATTAAGACTCAATCACTTTCCAAACGAAAGGTGCTGAGAGATGGGTGCAATTATCCAGCGTTCGCCACAAGAGGAGGCAATTATTGTCTTTTTACTGTAAAACCGTTAGCTTAGCTTAGACGCGCAGCAAAAACGGAGCGGACTCAGTGTAGAAAATCACATCGTCCCGGGCACACGCCGTCACAGTCATGTCTCGCGTCTTGTTAGCATTGGTCGCTATAGCCTGCCTCAACCAGGCAGCGGCCAGGCCCGTCAAGAAAACCCTCAATTTCAACATGTTTGTCCTGCGGCCACGACAGGACGCCGAAGGATTTTTACTCGCCACGGACGGGGTATCCAGATTGGGGCCGGTATTGGAATATTTGGTGCAACGCGTACAAGGAATGATGTCGGTTAAGAAGCCTCAGGAGAAGATTGAGGGATATCATTCTGACTTAATTCAGAATGTGTCTACATCGATCCCAAATGTTGCTGAGAACGAAGTGGACGGTGTCCCAGAGTCCAAGATGCCCGGTGTTATTGTAAGGCCATCGCGTACCAAGCCTGGAACGTATGAAGTTGAAATCGATGTGGTTGTTGACGACGACCAGCCAAACGAGAACAAAACCCAGGAGTAATTGTTGAGCGAAAGTGATAAGCGTGTTTTGCATTTATTAATTGTATTCTCTAGCATTTAAGTTAGAGTCGTGCGTTATTTATAACATGACTATTAATGCTCTTGCCATAATTTTAAGGGAAATAAATAAATTCTTTCTTGTTGTTTTTTTTACTTTATTTTTGTTTTAATTTTTCAACTAAATGTTTTTTTTTATTTTTATAAAAATTTTAAAATTTTTAATCACTATGCTATTTTCAAAATTAATACTAATTAAAAGTAGTCTATTAGAACAAATATGTAAATTCTAATGTTTTCAAATTTGGACCAGCGTATACATTATTAAAATGTTTTTAAATTTACTCTTCCGTTTATTATTTACACGAATAATTTCCGAAGTTTCGAAAAGAATTCAGTTCACGTGTTGTATTTAAAATATAGATAGAATATCATATGTATGTCTAAATACGAATTTAATTATTTCTTGTGACCAAGGTACATAGGTATAAATTATAGTATATAATAATTCAAGTAAAAATTATTACAATTCATTGAATACATCCACTGTTCGTTTCTTAACTAGTAACCAGATAATTTGTAAAATAACCAAATTTAGTATTTATACATATTTCAAATAAAAGATTCGTTCAAAAGCAGGTTGATTTCAATTGTCATGTAAAGAGAAAATTCAATATAAACGCAGCTTTTCTTTAAAAAAAACATATCTAAATTTACCTAAACGGAATAAAGCAACGTAGTTTTTAATAAAAAAAATTATATCACAATAACTCCAAAAAGCATATCAGAAAACAATGACTTTGTACTTTAACATAATTGTCTTACTGTATAATCACAATTATTATTGCAAAGCTTGTCCCATAGGCATAACAATAATAGGCATAACCTGTCTAATGTGAGGTAAATTAACTCTCAAATCCTGTCCCCCTTGACCCATATCTTCCATTTCATCAGTATTTTGAGGTCGAAATCTTTGACCTATCCCCGATATTATACTAGATATACCATTGTATACCCAAGATATAGAATCGGGAACATTGATTTCTATAGGAAGAAACGGTATACTGGAAATGAAACCACCGATAGAAAATCTAGCGTCGTTAGGAATCAATAATATTGCTTTCTGTCCATTTTCTGTTTGTTGCTCTCTCTCTGCGTCAATGACTATAGAATCTGTGTCTCCGTCTTCGAAGGTTGATTTTATGACGTGATCTTCTTGTATGTTAGCCTTTTCTAGGTTTTTGTAAAGGTTTTCTGTATTAGCGTGCATCTTCGGTAGTAAGATAAGTAGCGGACGAGGTTTCGTTCTGAAATAGGAAAAGTATATATAAATATATAACATTACATGCAGTTATAATAAAACTAGCTTTTTCCCGCGACTCCGTCCGCGTGGAATAATTACTTTGGCATAACGCTAAATTTTTCCCCCACTCCATTTACGTAGAATGTGAGAATATTTTTAAATTATAGAATGCTAAGGAGCTATTCAAACCCCTATTTTGAAACATTCTTTATTGGTGCTCCACTTGTATTGGTCTTACCGTGATTTTATATAGCTTATAGCCTTTCTTAACACGTTCACTGCGGAACAGGCCCAAATCAGCCTGCCGCGGAATTTCACCTGGTGCGGACGAAGAAAACTATGTCCCTCTCGCTGGTGCGGAACGATTATCTCAGGTGTTTGTAAAGGTACGACAAAGACAAATATATATTTGAGATTGTGGTCAAAAGTATAGGTGTTCCCTATAAAAACATCACGGCAGGCCTTTATCGGCCTATCACGCACTGACGGTAAAAAATATCAACTCGGTGCGGGAGGAGGCCTATTGTGGCCCGCCGTCCCAACAGGCTGTTGGCGGCCCGATACCGCACAGAGCGCCCGCCTCGCCAGTTAGTGTTGGGCAAGCTATCGGAACTGACGTACGTCACGTTTTTTTTATTCCTTAAAATTAAAGGCACGATGTCAGGCAACAAAAGAAAGATAAATAGATAAAAAGATAAAAAAGGTGTTGACTTCAGCGACCAAATGTCTGCATATTATTCTACATTAAAAAGAGGGCTCAAATGGTTCAGAAAAGTGGGTATGGAATATTTGTTTGGCATGGCGTTGGTAAACGCTTGGATTATATACAACATGAAAAATGAGAAGAAGGTTTCAAAGAAAGAATTTACAGAAGCATTAATACAATCAATTACTGGAAAAAATATATGCCCTGATAGTAAGTATAACGACGTGCAACATAACTGTAACCATCTTTAGACCTATGTTGAAGGTGATTCCTTCTGTTTCGTGTTGACGACGTTCTACCTCTGCAACAGGTAACTATTGTCATTATTTTTTACACATTACGAGTGCTTAGGTGGCTGTGCATGGTCTTCGAGCATGAGCTTTGGTTTGACTCCGTTTATTTTTCTGCGAGCAATGTATGGCGTTTATTGCACTACTCCTTGTATTAAGGTATGTTATGACACTCTGTTTACTTACTCAATAACACATGAGTTGTTGTTTCGGGTCAGAAGGCTGCATTTAACATGAAAATAACGCTTCAAGTCTACTATATAAGGCCCTGTATTATATGTACATATTTTGTTTTCACAAGCTTAACAAATAGAGTGGTCTGAAAATTGCAGAAAACAAAGTTGTATCACCTTATCTTGTAGCATGTTGTGTTTAATTTTACCCATCAAAGTGTGCACTTTGACAACGCATGGTGATGAGATTTGACTATTTCAAGACCTATGTTAACTTTTTCATTTTATTTGAGAATCTATTTAATACACAGAGAGCCCTGTAGTCAAATTCATAAGGTAAATGAATCACAGAATTTAAAAAATCATTTCAGGAAATCAAGTAACACCTACGGCCGATCATATCCTTGAGATGAGCGGTAAACGGCGAAATTGTGTAGGGTGCTATGAAAAACTGCGGGAAACCATGAAGAGTTCCGAGGTGAAAAGGAAAGTAAAAAAAATTAAAACATACTGCAGAATGTGCAAGCAAAATCTTTGTGCGAAATGTTTTAAAGACAGCCATTAATAAATAATTAAATAAACAATTTTTATTTCTTTACTTTAATTCTGTTTTATTTTCGATATCCCCTTATTTTTGTCTTTCCCATCACTACTAAAAATACTTTCTAGTGCGGTTCTGGTCGATATCGACCCGCCACTTTCCCTGGTTTATTTCTCATTTTCTGTTCGGCAGATCCCGGGGCGAATCAAATCTAAAGAAGTTGGGTTCAAGGTTTTTCCAACAGTCCAAAAACTGTTCACCTACATCATGTTTTCGCAAAGTTATAGCAATTTAATCTAACCTTGTGCTGACGTGTCGAAAAAGACCTACCACGCACTGGCGGAAAAATCATTGGGGGCACAATTTGGCCCGCCGCCGCACCAGACAAAGGTTTAAGATTTTACTTGCCGCAGCGAACGTGTTAATAAATAGGCTATCTAACACTGAAAGAATTTTTCGAATCGGACCAGTAGTTCCTGAGATTAGCGCGTTCAAACAAACAAACTCTTCAGCTTTATAATATTAGTATAGATATAGATTTGGCAACGAGATTTCTGTTCTGTTGCCAATTTTTTGTTTTCCATGAGCGATTGTGACAATTGATCGTCATCAACGGGTCATAGTATTCATTTGTCTGCAATATCCTTAAGAACAACCAGAAAGATTTTAGGGTTATTTTCATGAGGCCACTCTCATGTAAACTTAAATTCAAGCTGACCAGAGATTCTAATGTATGGATCCTTGTCTAAGTGAATAGCTGGAAAAAACGGACAGGACGTTAGAAGCAATGTGAAAGCGGAAGTCTAAGTGGCCTAATGAACTTTGCCTTGAAGCCTTGTGCATTCGTATTGCATGACGTGACGTGATAAATACAAATTACTTCCACGATGAAGGATCAAAATAATGTTACATTTATCACAACTTTTTTTCATTGGGGCATTTGAAAGATACATACATCATTACGTAACGTCCGTCTGGTGTAGTGGTAAGTGACATGGTCACTACACTAGGGGGTCGCGGGTTCGAATCCCGCCAAGGGAAGATATTTGTATGATAAATATAAATGTCTTTTCCGGGGTTATGGATGTATATTAAATATATGTATGTGTATAATAAACATCTTACATTTATTTCCGTTATCTGGTACCTGTAACACAAGTTCTTTACGAACTTATCACGGGACCAGTTAACGTGGCGTGATTGTTAGTAAAATATTTATATTTATTTATATTTTATATTTATATTACTAGGAGCTGTTGTGAGGCCATAGATTCCGGTGCTTTACCTATTCCAATAGCGAACCACTCAAGTTTCTATTTAAATGGTAAGACAAGAGACTCTGGCCTCAGTTTAATATATTCATACACGTTGTAAAATCTATGGCATACCCGATCCGGTAGACCGAACGGTAAACAGTCGACGTCGCCCTAAGCACATAATTACGGATCCTCCCGATCCATTAACGGTGCTTTTAAAGGGCTCGACGAGCGAATTAACCCATAGACACAGCCCACTGAGTTTCTCGCCGGATCGTCTCAGTGGGTCGCGTTTCCGATCCGGTGGTAGATTCTGCAAAGCACTGCGCTTGCTAGGGCCAGTGTTAGGAACAATCCGGTTTGAGCAACGTGAGCTCACCTACACGTTAGGGTGAAGCTGAAATAGCCTCTCAAGGCTATCAGCATAGGTAGGAAAGGTAAATCTATGGAATTATCGCTTGAGGTTAGCTCGATTGTCAGAACATACCTCTTTGTTGTTACATTAACATTGCAATAGTACTTAGAATTTTTTGATCTTATCAATTCATTGTTCACTCCTTTTGAAATATAAAAATCAAATAAATATAATAAATTATTTCAGTATAGTATTCGTGACTGAAGACTTTCTCGTGCGCTCAATTTAAATGAATAAGCGTCTAGAAAAATTAATAGTTGCCTCAATAATTGAAATTGTAATTTGTTTGATATTTAAATATATTGCTACATTTATGAATTCCAAATAGCGTGTATATTTATTTACCACTAGCTGACCCGGCAGACTTCGTAGTACCTCAATCGATAAATAAAAGACCTAAACTTTTGTATAAAATAAACTTAAAACAAACAAAAGAAATCCGTCCGACGGGGGACACATCAAAGGAAAATCAAAATTGTTATTTTTATTTAATTCCGAGCAATTTCATATTTTTCTACCTTTTAAACCTTCTCTGGACTTCCATAAATAATTCATGACCAAAATTAGCCAAATCGGTCCAGCCGTTCTCGAATTTTAGCGAGACTAACGAACAGCAATAAATTTTTATATATATAGATAGATTAAAAAAATTCAACTCATGTTATTAGGTCATAGCTTAGGCAGGCTTCGAGATTCACATTGTCAAGATTATTAAGATATCACACATCACCTATCTTCAGTCATGAGTTTGAAGTCGTAATTTCCTAATTATAAAAGCTACTCCTACCTACGAAATATGAGGACCTAAAATATGAGGACCGCAATATATACTAACTACCTGTCTGTATGTGCTTAGTCGTATAGTATATGCAAAATCTATTGCACAGGTGATATCCTTTTTTTTTTTTTTTTCCACAGTAGAAAATCGCCGGATCCCCAACCGCACGGCAGGTGGGGTATGTGGGAGTCGAACCTCACTAAAAACTCCTGCCGCTCACAGCCGGCGCCCTACCCCGGACCGGGTGGGAACCCAGTCGGAGTTATTGAGACGGCGGGACAGGGTTTACGCAGAGCACATTACATCCATCCCGCCGTCCCCCAGACGCCGGACCGGCGGCCGCCAGCAACATGACCGCCGGTTCCCTCGGTCGACGGGCCAAGAGCCCGATTGATAGCGCCGCGCTACACCTTCCCCCGGAGCGGTCGGGGGAACGCGACCTACCACGCTGCCCCACGCCTAAGCTCCTCCCCGCACAAAGCGGGTGGAGCCCGAAGCTCTTAGGGGGCCGGGTTACGGACGGGACCCCGGTCCCGACCCCCTGCTCGGCGGCGGCGGGTTTCTGCGTAGTGAGGAGAGCTTTGCCTCACTCGCCCCGCCGCCTCCTTCTGCGAGATGGTGCACTCGCAGAAGTCGAGCATAGCCTTCCAAGACTCGTCGCCGCCAAGCATCGACGCCACGACGCCAGGCAGCGACAAGTCTGGTCCTATCTTTGCGACAAGGACACGGCGCTGCACCTCCCAAGCGGGGCAGACAGCGAGCGTATGCTCCGCCGTGTCCAGGTCGTGTCCACAATGGTGGCACCTCGTCGTCGGCTCAGCTCCTATCCGGTGCAGGTACTTTCCAAAGCATCCGTGCCCAGTCAGCACCTGCACCAGACGGAAGGTGAGGCGTCCTCGGCCACGATTCACCCAGTCATAAAAGACCGGGTAAACCGCCTCGACGGTCCGTAGACCCCACGTGGGGTTGGCCAACCGCCTCGACCACGATTCGAGCACGGACCGCCGAGAATGGGCCTTCCGCGCCCGCAGCTCACTTTTGGAGGGACGCGCCACGCCCAGAGCACGAAGCTCACTGCGCCACCGATAGTCGGCAGCGAGCGACTCCGCCTCCAGCTCCCATGGCGGCGTCCCCGCCAACACACACGCCGCCTCGAATGAGACGGTGCGATATCCACGGATGACCCTGATAGCAACGGTGCGCTGCGGCCGGCGCAGGAACCGAGCCATAGTAGCCCGATTGCGCGGCTCAGCCCATACAGGCGCACCGTACAGGGCCATCGATCGCACCACCCCAGCGTAGAGGCGGCGTACAACCTGATCCGGCCCCCCGATATTCGGGAGCAGTCGGTTCAAAGAACCGGCTGTCCTCATTAATCGAGGGACCAGCTCCGCAAAGTGAGCACGAAAAGCCCACCGGCCGTCCAACACGAGGCCGAGGTACCTTAACTGCACCCCGACCCCTATCCGGACGCCCCCAACCACGATGTGGGCGTCGACAGGTGGCGCTCTCCGCGGCCCGTGAAACCACAAGGCCTCGGATTTACTGAGCGCCACGTCGAGGCCCAGTCTCTTGATCCTCCCGACGACGAGGGCCACTCCCGCTGTGGCGAGACGGGCAGACTCTCTATAATCATCCCCCCGGGCCACGACCAACGTGTCGTCCGCGTAACAAATAACGCGGAGACCCGGGAGGAGGGCACCCCTCAGCACCCAGTCGTACCCGATATTCCACAAGAGGGGTCCGAGAACCGACCCCTGCGGAACACCACGCACGACCGGAAAACGGTGAAGGGTCCCACCGTACCCAGTACATTCGACCGACCTGGCCTCCAAATAGACAGGTGATATCCTACTCATATTTTTTTCTTCTTGTATGTAGTTCGACTATCCAAAATAAAAAAAAATAGTGAAAACTTTTTGTGAATTTACAAAACATTCTACAGACAAGTTTTGAAGCAACGAAAACATATTACAACTTTGACAAAAGAATTCGATTCAAAACATTCCAATGTAACTGTAGCTAATTGAAAACAGTCAATTAACTATAATTTCCCCGTCTAGAATAAATTAATACATCTAACATTTTTACTTTCACACTTCATTCGCAGGAAAGCGATCTACTGATTCATACGTCAATTTGATATCTAAATAGATATCTGTTGCATGAGACTTTTTTTGTTTATTATAACGTTGTTGACTACACGAAAATCATGTGTAGCGCGCGGAGAATACTGAAATCTAAAATGAAACAATTCGCTTTTAATAAGTTTTCTCCAACAGATATTTGCGAACACTATCTCTTGACTGATTCGGTGGTACAGTAGCTAGCCGCTCTGACTGTTGCGTCAAGGGTCGTGCGTTTAATTCCCACATAAGACAAACGTTACCACTCACGGCTGGAGTCTCGCAAAGCTCCGTTCTCTCTCCGCTCCTATTTAGCCTATTTATTAACGACATTCCACGATCGCCGCCGACCCACTTAGCCTTATTCGCTGACACAACCGTATACTACTCGAGTAAGCTCCAGAACGCAGCGCTAACCCTCCGACAGTGGTTCCGAAAATGGCGCATAGACATCAACCCAGCGAAAAGAACAGTTCTGTTATTTTAAAGGGGAAACTCAACGCGTATTTCCTCCTGCGTTAGGAGGAGAAACATTACACGTCAATCACCCTCTTCGGCCAACCTATACCCTGGGCCAAGAAGGTCAAGTACCTGGAAGTCACCCTGGATGCATTCATGACATTCCACTCGCATATAAAATCAATCCGCGACTGTACCGCGTTTATTTCCGGCAGACTTTACCCCATGACCTGTAAGCGGAGTAAAATGTCCCTTCGGAACAAGGTGACACTTTACTAAACTTGCATAAGGCCAGCTATGACTTACGCGAGTGTGGTGCTTGCTTACGCGGCCCGCACACACATTGACACCCTCCAAACCCTAGAATCCCGCATTCGCAGGTTAAGTAAGATTAGCAGTTTGTTATCGAAATTGTCGTGACCTAAAGGATAAGACGTCCGGTGCATTCGTGTTGAGCGATACACCGGTGTTCGAATCCCAAACGGGTACCAATTTTTTTATGAAATACGNACCACAATGGTGGCACTCTGCCGTCGGCTCGGCTGTGATCCGGTGCAGGAACTCACCGAAACAACCATGCCCAGTGAGCACCTGCGTGAGCCGGAAAGTGAGGCGTCCTCTGTCACGATTCACCCAATCCACAAGGACCGGGCGAATCGCCTCGACGGTCCTACGACCAGCCGAAGGATCAGCCAGCCGTCTGGACCATGACTCCAGCATCTCAAGGTGGGTGGCGCATTTACGTTGTAGATGTCTATGGGCTCCAGTAACCACTTAACACCAGGTGGGCTGTGAGCTCATCCACTCACCTAAGCAATAAATAAAAAGTGTGATGAACGTACGTTTAGTGTATCAGTTCAGATCTTACTCAGGCTCAGTTTCACTGTTGAATATATTAGGCATTGTAGGTTTTGATCTAATTGTTGTTATGCCTATGTTTGTGACTACTATGTGAGAAAAATTGTTTTCGTGTGTGGAGAAACGTTCATTAATCTAATGTTAAAAATAACAAACAAACAATATCTATGCTTATTTATTCCCGAATTTCTATGATTAACAATTAACAAACAATAATCGTTTTTCATAATAGAACTGATAGTACAGTAAGTAGAATTGATAAACGTGGAGGTAAACGAGTTTTGGAGTGGAGACCATGGACCGGTCAACGTAGTATAAGAGGACCAGTAACAAGGTAGAGCACCAACATACGTAGAATAGCGGGCAGTGGATGGAGATAAGATGGAGAGAGCGAAAAGGCGTATGTCCAACGGTGGACTAAACTAGGCTATTAAAAAGAAAGAAAAAAAACAATAATTTTGTTTATTAATCGTGCAATACTTACAATTTCGGCGCTTGCAAAGCATTCAATTTCTGGATCAACTGGAGCTGCTGCAAAGCCAGTAACTGCTGTTGCAAAGAGGACTGTGTTTGTAGCAGCGGCTGAATCGATTGAAGTTGCAGCGTGGCCGCATACATCGTCATCATTCGCGATAACAATAAAAAAATAACGTTTCTCGTTTTTTTTACCAACATTACTAGATGTTGTCCGTACACTTTTATTCTTTTAAATACAAAAGAATATAGTTTACTTTATTTGTCCCGTCAACTTGTTTTTTTTTTTCACTATATCGTTCGCTCAAATCAGTTTTGCTGACACATTCGTTCGTGAAAACGTTTATGATTCAAACAATTCACTTAGCCCACATTCGAAGTCATTAACAGACACAGGGTGTTAATTTTGTGAACTATTCGTTAACAAATTTTAATGTTTCATTTCTACTATTTCCCTAAATTTTATTTTTGAAAGTTTTTCGATTTTCGAAACTTTCTTTTTCGCGGCACTAAATAATAAAGGATCTCTTTAAATACTGTACAGGATGTGCTTCCTGCGACAATACAATTACGTATGACCAGGAGTTGTGCGTGGCTCGTGTTGTTTTGGAGTCGTTCAATATTCACAATGGATTCACTGTGGCCTACTGACAGGAGCGCTGACCTTGTCCTCGGACGAGTTTCTTTTTGAACCTAAAAGCATTTGTTTGCGATTTTATTCAGTTTTACTTTCGGCTGATACGTTTGGTTTAATTTGATAGATTTTATTGTGTATTTTTTAAGACTAGTGGTCTCGCAGTAGTCGAAATTCGACTATAATTAATTGAATTTATAAGTTTCAACATTATTATGGTCCTATTGTTACAGATTTCGCCAAGACTACACTAAAGACAAATGCTTGTAATATTAAAGATAAACAATACTAACCTATTCTCAATTTGACTACAGACTTCAAGCAATAACAAAATTTTGACAATTAACAAAGAGTATATGTGTGTGTGTCAAATACATGGTAGTGTGTGTAATGTTTTCTTTATTGATTTAATGTATCTTTTATGCATTATTTTAATAAAAGATTAGCATTGTGCACCAATTGTGTGTTAATAAAAGATTAGATTAGCATTCTTCTCTATGTTTTCTATAAGTGTGGAAAATTTCATGTTCCTCCGTCCGCGCAATTTTCGTAAAAAGGGATACAAAGTTTTTGCTTCACGTATTAATATATAGATACTTAGCAGTTTTATTTAATTAGTTAATAACTTTACATTAGGTTATACAAAACAACGGAACGAAAGAAATTCTAAATTTTTCAATGAAGCATCATTGCTTCTAGACATCTTATTGTGGAAAGCAAATACGTATAAGTCCAAGGCCAAAGCCGCGAAATCAGTTTTTTTCTTGCTGTATAATTGTCGGAGACATACGTGCATAATAGACAATAACAGGCAACCTAATTCTTGAATTACAAATATCTCGAGAACGACTCAAATTCAAATAAAGAATACTCACTTTCATTATTTGTGTGAACAGACCAGACCGGTATCATACGAACATGTTACTAAGTACATACAAATATATGAAATTGTGAGCTCGCCCTCTTTATACAAATGTTCTTTGCTTTCTTTACAAGAAATTTACTACATTGTTGTTGACAATAAGATTCATACAATATTACCACTTGTTTTCATCACAAAAGAAACCTACTTTTCACGGTAGAAAGTTTACTTGAAAACGGCCCGATCTCTCGTGCCTGTTATGACCGGTTTAAATGTGACTATTTCACCAGATTATCAGATGCTCTTCGTGACTTCAACATCGTTGAATATACATATGTATATTAGTACCTGTAAAACTTGAATGAGTTATTGTAATGTACTCTTTTCCGTCAGCTAATCCTTAGTAGCGTACTCTCTAATGAGGAGCTCACGAACTCAACCTGTGAGTTTGCTAACCCTGGCCCTTAGGGGAGCAGTAATATCTACCACCGGATCGAAAGTGCCGGCCCACTGTGAAGAACCGTCGAGAAACTCAGTGGGTTGTGTCAATAGGTTAGTTCGCACGTCGAACTCTTCGTCGTAATCAAGGATCTCGACGAAGACCGTTTCCCGTGCTTAAAAGCCTGAAAGACGCGCTGAACAAAATTGGTGGCCTTACTGTGTATGAACATCATCTACCTACTCTAGTAGTAGATAGTCGTATCATTGGCGAAGAGGACTAACAGGATAGCTGGCGACCGGGATATACAAATATTAGTAACGCAGAGAGAACGGAGTCTCCGGGACTCTTTGACACATTAGTGACCGTCGATGTGAATTGTTAATTATTATTATTATTTATTAAAAAACTGGTAAAAATTAAGGTAGGTCGGGTAAGTGTTAAAACATATTTCAAGTCAAATCGGAAACATGCTAAGGCATTTGGAACAGCCTATAGTTTCAAACGCATTATCTATACCGTGTATGGATAAAGAGATACATAATAATATATTATCGTAACCTGAATGGAGGAGGTATTGTCGTGATTAGTATCGACTTTTTATTCATGGCAGAATTTAGATAATCCTTGTACTCATATTACTTAAGCATTTTGTCTAATATTCCATAGAATGTGTTTTGGATCAATGTTTGAAATGATACTTTTACAGGGTCACTTTTTTTTTATTGCTTAGATGTGTGGACGAGCTCACAGCCTACCTGATGTTAAGTGGTTACTGGAGCCCATAGACATCTACAACGTAAATGCGCCACACACCTAGGTCTCAGTATAGTCACAACGGCTGCCCCACCCTTCAAACCGAAACGCATTACGGCTTCACGGCAGAAATTAAAATATTGACTTTCTTTGAAGAAGAAAATAGACACGAACTGCCTGAAAATTACTTACTAATTTATTGCATAAACATTTACGATAAAAAGTGGTATCACGATACATCAAATTAAGTACTGCAATGATAGCAAAACGAAATTTATAACTTTTTTTTTATTGCCTTTGTAGGCAGACGAGCATACGGCCCACCTGATGGTAAGTGATCACCGTCGCTCATGGACGTCAGCAATGCCAAAGGCAGAGCCAAATCGCTGCCTACCATTAAGTACTCTCCGCAAGCCTCGTTTGAAGAAGGACATATCAATTGAAATAAAACAAAATAATATTCCCTGTATTTTATTATGAAAGTATATATCGCTTTACATTGAATAGATATTAAAAACTAAATTAACCTACATTGCTACGAAAATGGCAACGAATTCAACTTTTACAATGACACGGAACTACAAATCGAATTCTAAATTGGTAATGAGCTGTAACACATACAAATAGCTTACAATTACTACTTTGTAAATGTAATACATAAAATGGTGCGAGTAAAAAAAAGTCATGTACCAGAAAAATGAGATATACATTTTGCTTTGAGTTTTTAAAAAAAATTGGCAATTATTAACATTTCACTGTATTATTGTTTTGAAATTTTCACTTCGTTTTAAAATCATGACGCTAAATTATCAATTATTTAAAACTTATTTAATTTATGTTGTGAAATATTAAATCGTCGACCGAAGTTAAAACTTTAAGCCAATAAAATGTTGTTTTTAGTGCGATTTCAATTTTGATCAAAATAACACTAAAAAGTCACCCAAAATTAAATTTAACCACGCAGCTTTTATTTTAAAAATACTCATTAATTTCAAAATCATTTAAGCCTAGTTAGTGTCATGTCTTCCTCAAACAGTTTCTTAAGAATTGTAGCCACCGACGGAAATGGTGTCTTTGTCGGCTGGATATCTAGTCGGAGCAGATCCTCCTTGCAGATCACTCTTCAGGACGATACTGGAGACAGGGTAGGTGAAACTGTAGAAAAAGCCCCGTGGTGGACCCTGCAAGATATTTTTGTTATGAATTAACAATAATAAATTACCTAGGTAAATATATTGAGGGTTGCAGAAACTATTTAGTTTTGCTGGCTTTCATGAACATATTAGGAATTTCCAATAGCTGTTTGGCATATGTTGTAATACCCATTTTCAACTGCTGGGTAGCAGAAATAGCCAAAACAGTTATGACCTAACATCAGACTGTACCGAGACAGTACCTACCGAGATTTCAATGACCATCAATGCTTAGAAAAAACATGGCACAAACTGCCAACTTAATATGACTTCAGGATTAATTTTACTAGTAAGATGCTGAGGTGGAAAAGATTGTCGAATTCAGTGTCAAAACAAACGTACGGTTGGTTCGGGCTCTTCGTATTTTTCATTAAGAGGCTTTCCGGTGAATCCTTGACCGGGTTGGTAGCTGCCTTGGTTTTGATTATAGCTGCCATCGTTTTGACCGTAGCTGCCTTGATTTGGTCCATAGTTGCCTTGATTTGGCCCGTAGCTGCCTAGATTTTGGCCATAATCGCCTTGGCCCTGATTATAGCTGCCTTGGTTTGGAACGTAGCTGCCTTGGCTCTGATAGGCCTTGCCTTCTCTGGGCTGGCTATTAGGTGGGGCCACTACTGACGCTTGTTGTTCAGATGCTTGTGGTTGGTAATAATCACTTGGAAGGGCTTTGTAGGTCTGCTGGTAATAATCCTTAGGAAGAGCTTTGAGAGCGTATCTGTGAAAACATTTTAATATGATCAAAATAATTATATAATTTAATATGATGTCAATGTCATCAGAAACTAACTATATCGAAGCTAAAGTCCAAAAAAAAACAAGATACACGATGTGTATTAATTTGAATCAAAATGAAACCAATGAATCAACGTAGTTTCTTTCACTGGTGGTAGGACCTCTTGGGAGTCCGCACGGGTAGGTACCACCACCCCGCCTATTTCCGCCGTGAAGCAGTAATGCGTTTCGGTTCGAAGGGTGGGGTAGCCGTTGTAACTATACTGAGATCTTAGAACTTATATCTCGAGGTGGGTGGCGCATTTACGTTGTAGATGTCTATGGGCTCCAGTAACCACTTAACACCAGGTGGGCTGTGAGCTCGTTCATCCATCCAAGCAATAAAAAAAAATAAAAAAGTTTAAGTAGGATTTTTTGAATTTATTTTTGTACTATCGACCCGCCCTCACTTCTTTTTGGGAATTGTAATAATAAATTTATCATTGATCTTATTGAATATTCTTTTATGCAGATCTGGTCCTGACAGTAACGAACACAATAAAAAAAACGTAACAAACAAAAAATCTATTCTTTCCTCTTCTTATA